AAAGGTTTCTCAGCTGAGAATCAGACTGTCATTTCTGGAGTCCCTGGCTTCGCCACCTGAATCACAAACCACAGAGGCAATTTTATGCATGGAATAGGAAAAAAAATCGGGACTATTACATGTGGAAGTCAGTTATTCCACCGGGCAGCTTTCTTTGTGTTGGACTGAATCTGGGGTAGCAACATGCTTTATACCATATTATTATTATTATCATTGGGTTGAAGGTGAAGATTAGGAGTGGGTACAGTTTTTCTTTAGAAGGGATTTTTTTCTTAAAAAGTTGTAAAATTCCAGTGATTAATGATTCTCTCATTATAAAATTGTCTTTTATGGGCCTGTTATTTATGCCTGTGATTAATTCTGTTCACCCTGCAATTGCTTCTGTTATAATCTTATAAATAAGTAATCCTACATATTTGCTTATAAGCACAGTTTTTACTGACCTCTTTTTACATGAAATAATTTAATGAAAATAAAAATGATTTTCTACATTACTGTGGATAAATTATTTACTCAAATTTGGCAAACTGGAAACCTGCTATTTCAAAGACTCGCACTTGAGAAATGTTCAGGACGGCTTCCTGACAGATTCAGTACTGTTACCCAAGGTTCAATGCATTTCTTTAAAATTTTTAATCATATAACAAAATGCCCCCTAATACGTAAGAACAGAAGTAACAATAAACTTGCAAAGTCTTCACAGCCTTGACAAAAGACTGACAATTCATGTTCAAATATGCATCTTGTTATGTGTCTCAATAGTAAGTTGTTCTAAAGTTCTGTATTCATAGAAGATAATGGGGAGTTTACGTATAAATTATGTGCAAGATGTAAAGGTAATTCCCAAATTTAGTGAGAAAGCAGTTACTTCCTAATTCTTGCATTTAGAAAAAAGGGAGCTTTTAACCATAAGTAAATTAATCTTATTTAAAGCAATATTAACCTTAGAAGTATGATTAATAAACACAGGCTAGTAAAGGCCATTTGGGATCACTGTTATTTTTACTTTCGCACTGTGGTTTAGAATTTATACAGTACCCATTGTATGTTGACTGTGTGCTTTCACAATGCTCCCAAGTGTATGATTATATTTCATATTTTATTATTGTCTCTTTTGTAACACATACTCATATAGTTAAGCCTCCTTTAAAATTCTAAGATTTTAGTACTTTCAAGAATATTCAATAAATGGAAGCCATTAGGATGAAGAAAAGGGAAGAGGCATAAACATACAATTTTGACTTGTGACATACAAATGTTAACATAGATGTTAAAAGTTGTCAGCGTTTGTAGACTCAATGACTTAATAGTGAAAAGGAAATTAATCTTTATTATGAAGGTCATATTTGCTGATTGTAAGAAGCACAAAAAATAGAATGTGTGCATTTCTCACTCTTGCCATTTCTGGTGTAGCTGTCTAGAGATCTTTTATAAACATATATTTAGGGGAAAATGTCTGCTGCTCTGTTTCATTGAAGGCGGGATCGGATGACATACTCTTCTGTGACTTTTTTCCCCTCACTTTACAACTATCCATTTATAGCAACAACGCATAATAACAATAGTTAGTGTTCATTCAGACAGGTATTTTATTAAACACTTTTGAGTGCATTATCCTTTTTATGTTCATGAGCCATTGGTAGATAAAGATGCTGAGGGTCAGAGAGATTGAGACATAAATGTGGCTGAGGATATAGCTCAGCGGTAGAGCACACAGCCCTGGATTCCATCTGAGAGAGACAGACAGACAGACAGGGACAGTCTGAGAGAAACGGAGACAGAGAGAAAAAAAGGCAGGAAGGGAAGGGAGGGAGGAAAAAAGGAAGGAGAGACGAGACTCAAGTTCATGGGATGGGGCTGGGCTCGAAGCATGGGGCTGCCTGTAGGGCCTGGACCAGCGGTCACTCTGTTTCCTCCTCAAGAGCTTCAGGAGGCTGTGTTATGTCAGCCTGGACCAATCTTTTTGCTTTCATTAGTGGCTGCTTTCTATTCTCGTCAGTGCCCTCCACATCCTCCTCAGACCCATTGCTCTTGGGACACCAACTGCCCATCTCTGCATCTCTTCATCAGAGGACTTTTGTCAAAGCCCTGTCAAAGCCCACGGTATCCTGCCCACCATCAGTAGTCCTCAGTCCGGGAAGGGAATACACTGTCTCCCCCACCCCATCCAGAGTGGGATGAGTATTCCACACTGACTCTCAAGATCCCCTCAGTGTCAAGATCCTGTTGCCCATGCCTGTAACTAACTGGTGCCACACCTCCCTTGGCTGCCTTCCCTTCCACTGTCCACCTCTATGCCTTACCTGCCTCCTGCATTGACTTCTTGTCTCCCGCATTGCCTCTGGGACACCCCAGTGGGCTAGGATGTGTGCTGTCCACGGTATGACAGTACCATAATTTATTCACTCACTCACTCTCAGGTTGGTAGATTTTCACAGGCCTTCCGGTTTTCTGGCCTGTTACAAAGAATACTGTGGAAAAGAATCCTGCACCGTTGTTATGGGGTCCTGACCCAGACCCCATGCTTCAAGGGCTCCACGCCCTTTCCCTCTGCAGTCTGAGCCTGGCTAAAGCCAGTAGCACTCTCTGAGGTGGCTTCTAAGTGTGGGCCAGTTCCCAGCTCCAGTGTGGAGGTGTCTGGCTAACAGATCACGCCCAGTTGTTAGCACACAGTATTTCCTTTATCAGATAGTGGCAGTGAGTGGCCAGAATGGGCGGGGCTGACATACTGATTTCAGGTGACTATTTTTTATGTAAGTCAGACTCTGCAGGAATTGTTTTGCCCTGTGCCCAGCACCCTCATGAGGGCAGTCTGTTCTGCCCTAGAACTTTAAACAGACGTCTCCAGGATCTATCAAGTTCTTCTGTCTATATAGCAAGACTTACCTATCACTGAATGCAATTAACTATGACCTGTAGGGGGAAAGGAGATATGAAACAATTTTTTTAAAAATCTTTAGAAAAAATTTAAAAAGACAAAAGACGGCAGCCAAGTGAAGGGTGAGGACATTTGCAAACTGTCACGAGACACAGTGTGCCTGCCGGCGCTGTGAGATGTGTTGGACGACACAGCTGGACTCATGAGAGACAGCGTACGATGTGGCTGTCACCTACGCACCGTGCCTTTGTGGTGGCCTCGTTATAAACAGCCTTTATGTAACGTAAGGCCAATATCCTAGAAGCACAAAGCCGTTTATTAGAAATACCATGGGAGTCAAAGACACTCTGCTCACATCACTTGTAGACATAAGCTGCATGTAGGAGAGTCTTTTGGAAACCCTGATTGTAGATTTTGAGGTCATTTAAATAGTCTCTTTGTTTCCATACATTATTTTATAGAGCTTTTTAAAAAAAAAGAATATATAAAATGAATTTATATAAATCAAGATCAGGTTTTGATGGATTTGCTATTTTTAACATATGAAAATCACTTTCCTAACCCTACAGGGCCCACCTGGAAGGTGGAAGTGGTCAGCACCGCCGGTCCCCCCACTCCTTATCCACGCAGAAGAAATTGCCACAGCCAAAAGCTGTGGTCGTTGATAGATGAGTCTGTGACCACGTCCCTGTCCTTTCAATAATGTACTCGTACCTGGTTGGAGCAGTAAACAATCGACCAATGGACAAATGCGTGATTAAAGGGGCCAAGTGCTAGGGTGCTGCAGAGAAAGTGCACAGGCAGCTGTGATGAGACTGACAGGGCCGGAAAGCCGGCCGCACTGGGAGTGAGGAAGTCTTGTGGGGAGCTGGCCCCCGGCTGAGATCTGCATGGAGTTGGGGGAGGTCTTGGAAGAAAGCTGCTCAGAGCTAAGGGGCGCACCGCGGTCTGGGACAGGAGGAGCCGTGGGACTGGGAAGGGGTGGCAGCTGGGTGCAGCGTGTTGAGGCTGGGGAGTCTGTAAGGCCCCAAAGGTAAGGGGCAGTGCTAACTGCTAACGGCCCACAGGAAGCCAGGAGGGGTTTTCAAAAGTGGGCCAGGGCCGGGACTGATTTCCACTGTAATGTTACTCTGGGTGTTTGGCAGACAGGGGCGTGGAGTGTGTCTGAGGAACCTGGATGGCCTCTGAGGAAGCCGGAACAGATTCACTGGAGACATAGGGGCAGGTGAATTTCAGATCGATTTAAAAAGCAGAAACGATCGGTCAATCACGGATTTGACAGAACACGAAGCCTGACTTCCAGGCTGTGTAGATGGGGAAGGTAGGTGGAGGGTCAGATTTGGGGGAAAATAAAGAGCTCGTTTTTATTTTTTTTTAAAAAAGCTGGAGGTAGCATTGGCTCCAGGGAAATGTCAAGGAGGCAGCTGTATGTGACGGTCTGGAACTTAGAGAATCAAGCTGAGACACGTAAGGTGTTGGAAGCCAGGCCAGAGGGATAGGAGAGGCAGGGACAGAAGAGAGCAGTGGCACAGACGTCCTCTGCAGAGCAGACCCAGCGTGTGACCGGAGGCTGCCTGTGACTGCTGTCACTGAGCTTCACTTCGGTGGGGCTCAGGCCACCTGAATGCAGTGGAGAGCGGAGGGGGTGAGGAGAAGGGAGACCATCAGCGTTGGGCCAAGGGGTCCCACTTTCAGGACCTCGGGGTGAACACTGAGCTCATGAAGCTTCTGCACCTAAAACGAGAGGCGACATTTTTATTCATGGATTGCACAGCCAAAGACTGGGGAACTAAGTGACAGAAGCTAGACCCCAAAGAAGGCAGAGAAATCATTTGCTGTTTGAAGTAAATAAGAGATCGGAGGTTTCCCCTCACTTAACTTCCATCACTTAAAGGCGATGAGACTTCGATATTTTAAACTGTGTGCTTGATTAAACATATATTCAGGTTGGAAAGGAAATGCCGCTATTTGTTCTTATTGCACGAAGTCAATGTCATCTGTGTTTCTAGTATTAGACCTTCCTCAAATCTAACTTTTCAGTCTTCTGAGGATCCAAGTGAACCTGAGCTTGTGCTTGACGACACTCCTTAGGAACTGGTCCCCTCACGTGTTTCTTTTTTAGGGTCGACCAGGACCCCTCGGGCCACAGGGTCCCATAGGGCCTCTGGGACCCCCAGGACCCATTGGGATTCCAGGAGAGAAAGGCCTGAGAGGTGACAGTGGCCCTCCCGGGGCTGCAGGGGAGAAAGGAGACAAGGTGAGCCGCTTTCTCAGTGCACACGAACCTCTCAGCAGGGCTGCTCTGCTAGGTTTTGCACCTTGTCCAAAATAAATCTGTGTTCCTGTGAGCATTTGTCCTCATTCCCCACCTCTCTCCAGAGAAGCCTGACCATCTCAGCTTTTTCTGTGCACTTAAATATGTACCATGGATGGCTAAGAAATCCAACTAACCAAATGAGAAAGAACCAAGTAACATGTCACAAGTGTCATTATAAGCCCCCTTTTCACTCAGTGATATGCCTTATAGATTATTTTATATTAATTTTCATAGACTGAATTTATGCCTTTACAACATGGCGTAATATGCCATATCATGGATAAAATCATCCTTTATTTCCTGGCAATGGGAGTTCTAGATTCTACCCAAACTTTGTGTAGTGCCAGTGTGTAAAGGTCCTGTAAATTGTTGCTCACATTTATGAGTTTGTTCCTGTACGATAGACCCTCAGAAGTAGAATTTCTGACTTCCAGAATGTTGAATGTTTTATTTGAGGTAGTACGGTCAGCGTTCTCAAAGTACACACAAAACGTAGAAAAGGTGCTGTTATTTAAACTCATCAAAGTAAAAGTGAGTGATAATGGCTGATGAGTATCCTTAAAAATCAGTCCTTGAGATTTCCTATTTGAGTCAATGTGTTAATTAATACTTTAGCAATGTTTATATCATTGTTTTATTTTCTGGGATTTTAGGGTCCAACTGGTGTTCCTGGATTTCCTGGTTTGGATGGTATACCTGTAAGTTTTCCTAAATGGTCTCTGTTTTTTCTTTTTGTTTTATAAAGAAAGGAGGCACACTCATCAGAATCCTTAAAACCACATGTTCAAAGAATATAAATATTGGGCAAACTTTTTTATTTTCTTACACTACTATATGGAATGGTGCTTGCATTTCAGTTTGGTACAATAATTCTAAAACATTCTTCCTGAAAAACAAGGTTCTTGCAGATTAGCGAAAGCAGATTAGAGGAAAACATTTTTCCAAATTTCAAAAATTTCAAAACATTTGTGACATCAAGTACAGTGCTCTGGAAGTAAATGCGAACTTCTAATGAAAAGCTTTATTTCCTGGTTAGTCCTAGCATTGTAAATAAGTGGATTTAAGACTGATTTCTAATATGAAAATCAAATGGAAGACAGAAGAGATATTTTGGGAACTTTGCAGTTCATTGGAGATTTTCTGATGATCTCAGGGCAAGTTTCCTTCCCAAATCTCCCAGAATGTTCTTTAACTACATTAATTTAAATCAGATGCATTAAAATTTCATATTGTTAGTTACTTTTACTATGCCACATGGGTGGGGAAGGAAGTTTTATGAATTGAAACAACATGTGAGTCACGATTTGAGATTATATTGCATAACCTTTGTGTTAGGATATTCTTGCAAAAAAAAGTCTTCACTTACAACTTTGTTTTTGGTAGGGTCACCCAGGTCCTCCAGGGTCCAGAGGCAAACCTGGCATGAATGGTTACAATGGATCAAGAGGAGACCCAGGGCTTCCAGGGGAAAGAGGAGCTCCTGGCCCAAGAGGCACCCCAGTAAGAAGCCCATACCTCAGCCTCATGGAAATCCTAAGGGAAAAGGCCCTATGGTAGGAACAGGTTTGGTGTATGCAAGCCACAGAGTTAAAGCGAGTGTTCCTGGAGCACAGTAAGCACCTGTGGACCACTGAGGGATGTGGATGGAGAGGTGGGCAGGGCTGGGATTTGCAAGGCTGGAAGACTGGTGAGTGCACATTTCTTAAGCTCTTCACATGGGACCAAACCTCACTGTACAGAGTCATCCACATTCAAGGGAGCAGAAGTTCTCCCTCACTGGTGGCTTTGGCACAGTATGTGGTACTGACCACAGTGCTGAAGTTGGCCACAATGGTCATTCTATGCAACAGCTTTCTTCCCCTTGCCTCCTTTGACATAGAAGCAGCCCTCACTCTATAGTAATGTGAAAAGGGCCATGCAAGATGAAGCCACACAAGCCACCTAAGCAACCTGAGCAGCTAATGAGAAAAATCACTGTTCTTCTGTGGCCTTTAAGATGTTCTGTTGAAACATTAAAAACTCTCTTATTGGCACTGATAAATATATAGAGAAATAAAAAATAAAACTAATGCTTATTTAGTACACTGAAATCAGTCCACTGAGAATCAGTGTTTCATTTCATTGTAAAGATTTACCATGCACAGCGTGAATGGTGCTGGCCTTCTCATTGTATATTTTATGATGCAAAATGAATGTGTTCTCTAAGCCTTCGCAAAATGTCATACTTCTTTCTCAGTTGGATTGTTTCCAATGTTGTGAAATATATCAGAGTTACTTTAACACACAGTTTTTGCCGGTGTCGTTTTCTCCGTGACATTGTCATCTTTTTCATCGCATTCTCTTTCCTAGTTTATGTTGATAAGTTCATCTTTCTTGGTTTTTCTGGCTGCCAGCATCTCTTGAATGACAGTGCCACCCACGTTCCCATTGCCAGTTGTTTCTTCTGTAACTCCACTTACTTTTCCTTGAATTTCATTTCCTATATTGCAATTTTTCACTAACTTGTTTTGCTTTTGTCTTTGTCAGCTGATTCTCTCTTTCATCTATCCATTTTTATAAAATGTTAGTGGGGTTTACTGCTGGGAGATAAGGAAACAGCTCACCAATGTGCTTTGCTCTGTGTGTGTGTGTGCACGCTTACTCTTCTATATGATAGATATACACTGATTAGTCAGTAATACCAACTTGCATCTATTGATTACGTATTGATTTGTGAGCTGAGCAGCTAGAAGTGAAGTCTGTACTCCATGCAATTACTCAAATAATTTCAGTTACAAAGTTAAGTGAAATCTGAACCATATTATTGAACTGGTGTTATTTAACTGTTGAGCTGAAATTCATGCATACTGGAGCTGTACAAAGCCAGGACTGCCTATGTAGGCAAATCTGATTTCTCAAGCAAAGTGTTGATAAAACTCACCATAAAACCATTAAGTTTCTCCCAGAGAGTTCCAGACTCTTTGAAGTGGGATCAGCCTTGAAATTTGTATGTTCTTTAAGGAGCTTGACATAATCAAGTAGTAGAACTTTTATGTGGCAACTGAATTAAGAGGTATTAAGTAGAATATGAAGATGTTATGTTAGGAGCACTTTGGGGAGGAGAGTACTTTGAGGAATTTCCTTCATATAGAAAAGAAAACACTGCAATGGTCATGCACTTTGTCCTCCTAACTGATTATTTTGTTCTTAGGGCCCTCCTGGAGCAAAAGGAGAAAAAGGAAATTCACTGTTCATTTCAGGAGGCATTAAAGGTGTTCAAGTAAGTATTATGATCTTTGTAGGTTTATTTTTTTTTCCAGTAGGTAAGCCATGCAGCAAGCATGTGGGAGGGATTTTCTGTGAAGTGTCACTTAGTGCACTGACTGTTCTTTACTATTTCCCTGACACACCGAGATGGCGCCATACTTATTGTGTGAAAATGCCGCTCTTACCATGTCTGTGACCTTCTGGAACCAGAAAACCATTTGGAATTGCAAGAACACATTTATTTCAGTTTCTCAAGGTTATCACCATTGACATTTGGGGGCAGACAGTCCCTGTTTGGGAGGCTGTCCTGAGCATCATAGGATTCTAAGCAACCTGCCTGGCCTCTGGCCTTGACCCCATTAGTTTCCAGTAGCATCTTCTTATCCCCACCAGGAACTGATCCAAACATTGCCAAAGGTCCCCCAAGTGGGGGGCAATCACCCCAGGCGAGGACCACTGATTTATTTGTAGTTAAAATATTCCATTGGTAATATTTGCCCTCTAATATAGTCAGTCACCACCATTGACTTTGAAAATCCTTCAAAGCTTCTAGCACGAGGCTTGATAAATATAATGTTTTCAGCAGGCAGTGAGGCCCAAACATGCAAGAAGCTGTTGAGTAACCACCTCGTCCCTTGTATGAGAAGCCGCGGATAAGTAAAGAGATCAGTAGCCATGATGAATCAGGAGGAGGAGGGGGTACCTTTTTGAGACATGTGGCCATGTTTCTTATGGAAAAATATTTTAAACCATTAGGCAAAGCTAGTCCTAGTTTGCTTCTAGTAAACCTTAATTTCTGTGCCACCCGAAGTAGGAACACCAAGGCACAGATCCCTTTTGTGAGTTCACGGAGTGTATCTGTAGCCTGTGCGCTGTGCATACCTGTTAGACCGGAAATGCTATGGGACTGTGGCTCTGCTTCCAGGTGTGTCCGGCCTGTAGCCAGCCATTTGCCCTCCTCCTGAAAATGTCAGAATAAAATATCTTTAGAAGGAACATACATTACCTACGTCATGTAGGAGCCCAAGATGTCCCCTCTTCACTCAGAAAAACAAGAGCAAAAATGGCCAGCAGCAGGTTGGACATGCGTGGAATGATAAATGAATAAACAAAGTCAAAACGAGGTCATTCTGGGAGCCATAATGGTGACATGGAAGGCATGAGCTGACCCGTACCACTGTGACTTAAGCAGCCTCTTTACCCCACCTGAGCCCCATTTTCCTGATTGCGAAAGAAAATTCAAATAATCTCTACCTTGCCTTCCCACTGTTAATAGGATGCATTACAATAATTCAAAGTGTAGCATGTTGTAAATTGTATAGTGTGGTACAATATTAGTTACGGTGAGCATTTTTGTAACTGTGACAACAGAAAATGAGTGTGATAGAAGAGGAGATGAGTTCGAGAATTTTTTATTAGTCCATGTACACAATACATCTTAATTATTTGTTAAAATGTTCTTATCCCCAACTCCTCTCTCCGTTTCCCTCCATCTCTTGGTTATGAGAATTCATCTTCAGACATCAAAGTTTCCTAAGAAACCGGTCTGCCGATCAATTACTTTGGGGCCAACTCTGTATCTACTCAGTCACTCAAGTGGCTATTATAAAAACATTAAAAGCAAATGAACTATATGGAGAGTTGGAACCACCAGGCATCGTCAGTGGGAATATAAAATGGTTCCACTTCTATGGAAAGCGATTCCTCATAAAGTTGAATGTAAGATTGCCATACAATCCTGCAGTTTCACTTCTGTGTACATAACCTAAAATAGTTGAAGGCGGAGACTCAGAGAATTATATACTCACTTTCACTGCGGCGTTATTTCCAGTAGCCAAGCGGTGGAAGTTGCCCAAATAGCTAGGGACAGATGAATGGATAGAGGAGTCTATCTATATAAATGTGAGTGTACCTATATAAGTGAACATTAGGCTGCCCTGAAAGGGAGGGAAATTCCAACAGATTCAATAATATGAATGAAGCTTTAGGACATCATTTTATGTGAAATAAGACAGTCATGAAAAGACAAATATGGGATGAGTCCCATTATATGAGGCTCTTAGAGTGATCAAATTCCTAGGCACACAAAGTAGAATGCTGGTTGCCAGGTACTAAGGAGAAAAGGTACTTGGGAGCTAGAATTTAATGAGAACAGAGTTCCCATAGAGGAGGATGAAAAAATTGTGGCTATCAGTGATGGTTGTGGTTGAATAACGATGTAATGAATTGAGTATCATAAAAATATCTGTACCCCCCAAGTGGGTAAAATATTAAATTTATTTCATGCATAATAAGCCTTAGATGTGTGCTGGAGCAGGTGCCACGGGCTCTCCCCATGAGGACCTTTTCTGTCCACTCAAGGGTGTTCCCAGAGAGCAACGCCTGCAGGAAATGGGGCCACTGGGTGGAGAATGGACAATGCAAACAGGAGGATGATTCTGTCTTCACTCTATATTGTCATTCTCTGGTCCTTGCTGAGTAGGAGAATCCAGGGCCTAAGAGTAGAAAAAAATAACAGCACCTCCCTGCATCCCTTCTTCAGTTGTCTTCACCCTGAAAAATTAAACAAACTGCACCCTTAAACTCATCCAAATAAACCTTTTATGTATTTCCATTTTGATACCATCCATGTTTTAGGACAATGGTGCTGTTCTTCTAAAACAGTGTACTGTTATTATTGCAGGGAGACCGAGGGGACCCAGGACCAGACGGCTTGACAGTAAGTCTCCGGAGCAGGCCTTCTCCTTCTGTTTCCCTCTCAGACAGCCTTCTGCTAACCACAGAATCCAAAAGGAAAATCCAAGTTCCTTGGTCAAAAATTATTAAGGATTTCAAGATGGTGGCAGCAGAGTGTTAAATCCATGCATGATGGCACAGGTCCCATGCGCAAGACGTGGACTTCTTCTCACCTTCCCCTTCTGTCTCTTAGTGATCATGTGGCATTGCTCAGGTACATGCAGACACTTAAAATTTCAGAAAGTAGGTCTGCTTAGTGACTACACTTATAATACATATACCTGGGTCTCCTGCTTATGAACCCCAAGTGGAAATTACCTTGGTGTCTCTCTCTCTACCATTTTTACCTGCCAAATCCATAATTGGGTATTAAATTTAATATCTCACCCCATCTTTTCTTGACTGTATTAGTCCTTCCAAATCATAACATTAATATTGAAAGAAATTGTGAGTCCTCCCAATTATCCTATAATTTTGGCCTTGCGCTTTCTTGGTGTTGAGAGATTTATTTTCCCAGGTTGGTTTCCTTGGTATTGTCTGAAGCTCAATAATGAATCAGATGTTATTGATGTTACTATTAAAATAACTAAATAGCAGCTCATCTCATATAGAAGGCAACTTCTGTATGTTCTCAAACTGAGACATGAAAGTGGAGCAGGAGGCTTCCCTCCACCTTTCCATCCTGCCTGGCTACAGCCTTCCTTTGCCAATGCACGCAGTGACTTTCATGCTTCATAAAGTTGCTCATGGTGAAGTCATCCTGATCCTGGGCTGAGAACGACAGTTCTGATCACTTTGCTCCTGTAGGCCATCTTTTCTGCATATGTTACAAAGCATAAATATATGAATATTTATATATCAAATAATCCTAATTTTAAAAAAAACTCCAGAGGTGATATAGATGGAGTTTAGGAATAGCTAGCAACATATTTTTTTTATTCTCAACTTTTTATTTGTTGGTTTGCAATCCAGTCTTGGCATGTTTCCCAAACTGCTCAGCTCAGTGGATTTTCCTGCTTCAGCCTGCTGAGTAGCTGGGCCCAGGGTTGTGGGCCTTTGTACTGGCCATTCTTATCTTTCACTCTTGCAAGGTTTACATGTTAAATCTTCTTCTGAGTCTGAACTGAATCCGATCATGGATTAACAGCTGTTGCTGCCCTCCGGCTGAGTTGGAGATGCTCTAGCTGAGAAGATGCGGGAGGAATGGATTGCGCACAGGTCTTTCTGCACTGGATGACATGCACTTCATGCTATGAATGAGGACTGGGTCGGCTTTTCACAAGTGTGCTGATTTTTCTCCTATCTAGGGATCCAGAGGTGCTCGAGGACCCACAGGCCCAGTGGGAGAGCCTGGAGCCCCCGGGCTGACAGTAAGTGCAGCCCTCCTGATGCTGTCCCTCCAACACCCAGAGGCGACACAGACATAAATGCAGAAAGTGGAATTGAAGCCCCGGGTTAGGCCCAGTGGGCTTCTTGAGTGCTTACTATCTCCCTAATCCTCAAAGCCCCACCATTGTGGGCAGGAATCCCTGCTCACACAGCTCTCTGAGTGACAAGCCACCAGCATCGTGTTTGTACGGCGCAGTCCGTCACCCATGACACCAAGTCCGTCATGCATATGTCTTATTTTTCACTGATACACGATGATTGTATACATCCATGGGCACAGCGTGATATTTCAACATAGGCATTCAATGTGTAATGATCAAATCAGAAAATGAGTATGTCACTTCAAATGTTTACCATCTATTTGTATTGGAAATGTTTAAAATCTTCTAGCCTATTTATTTGTTTTGGTACTGGGGATTGAACTCTGGACCTTGCACTTGTGAGGCAGGTGGTAGTACCACTGAGCTAAATCCCCAGCCCCTCTTCTAGCCATTTTAAAATTATTATTATTAGCTTTATTCACCCTTCTGTGCTGTAGGACACTAGAATTTAATCCTCTTTTCTAACTGTATTTTTGGGCCCAATGACCAACTCTTCTCTCTGCCTCCTTCTCCAGGCTTCCTCTTAACTGTTTTGTCTCTATTATTTTGCCATTCTGCCATCTGCTTCTTCTTTTTATCTTTTACAAATGAGCACGAAGATAATAAGCATATTTTAAAACCAAGTGTTTCCTACATAGGAACGTGGGGCAGCCGGTGAGATACCTTTTGATGTCTATGACTGGTAACTGATTTGTGGTGTTTTGTCATTGACCTAGGGATTGCCAGGCCACCCTGGGAGTCCGGGTTTGAAGGTAGGTGGTCATAAGTAAGATACATAAACAGAGCCTACTCAATGAAGCAACTAGCATCTGGCATTTGTCATACTGTGTCTTTCCTCCTATCAGACTCCCCAAAGATTTGAATAAACTTCATTAAAAAATCTTACTTGCTTTCTATTACTTTTTTAAAAGTCAAAAGAAATTAGATTTACTTTCTTCTCTTTTTCAGGGCAGTCCTGGTATCGGAGTAAAAGGGCAGATGGGGGACCCGGTAAGGATCTCCTTTGCACGGAGTAGCAGGTGTTACAGGGCTTGCACAGTCTAGCTGTGGAGGCTGTCCAGATTTAGTATTTGGCTGGCGTTCAGCATCTAACCGCTGCCCATTTTTATGGCTGAGAGCTTCTCTTTGCTGAATTACCATAGCCCTTTCACTTTACCAATACCTTTAGCTGTAAAGTGACAGAGAAAACAACGCTAAACTCAAGTTAATTTATATGGCGTGTTTCACTCTAGCAAGAAGAGATGTATAGCACTCTTGACTATATGTATCCTCACAGCAGTGGCTTTGCTTATTTACTTGATTTGTCTGGCTTACTTCCCCAAATCCTGAAATCCACACTGGAGGATAAGTGGCAGGAATATAAGCACTTAAGAACACGATCCCCACTTTCCTCTACCAATTCCCTTGAGCCTTCCTCTGCGCCCAGACCCTCCTCAACCTCCTCTTCTCCCTTCCTCACACAAAGTCCTTCCTGCGAAAGCATGAAACTTAGTGAGGGTGCTCTTTAGAAAAGTGATTTCAGATGGTAGCTTGTCTGGAAACAATCAGAAGGTCCAGCAGTAGGTGAGTGACTCTTTCAATAAGGCTGGGCAGATACTGAGCATCTACTCTAAGCCAGGCTACAACGGGCACTGAGTGTGTACTTAGCGAGGTAGAACGGATTCCTGCTCTCCTGAGGTCAGCTGTGGCATAATCATTAACAGAACAAGGCAGTAGCCAAAAATGCAGATGAAGACGTCATGGTGTGGGGAAATGTCCCTGATGAAAAAGAACAAGTTAGAGACATATAAACCCAACTTGGTAACAGCAGTGACGACAAAGACGGTAAAATACACCGAGAGATGGATTCTTCAGCATGACACTCTGGATAGTTGATTGTTTCAGGGGGCCCTTCTGTGGTTTCCACGATTGTTCAGAGCCTCTATCCTTTAGCCACTGGATGCCAGCAGCATCCTTTCCCCTCAACTGTGATGACCCGAAATGTGCCAAGATGTCCAAATGTCCCTGGGAAGAAGCAGTTTCCAGTCGCTTCCCTCCCCTTCCAACCCGGAGAACCACTGACTCAAACAGATGACTGAATGAAAACACATTGAAATAATCTTTGTCCCACTTGGAAAGTCATGGACCCCTGCGAATGTTTGTCAAAGCCGAAGCCCACCTCCCCATGTAATCGAGACCCAGTGGCTCAGAGAGCCACCCAAGCACTGACGCTGTGTGATTTTCAGAGCCAAGGAATTTGGATGCCTTTGCAAACTGAGGCTATAGAGTAATGTGGATGTATTTGGCCGTGAGGTGGCCCTTCACATGATCCAAATATGCGTAACGCCTTTAAATTGTCAGATGAATGATGCATCCTCTGGAATATTGATACAGAATTCTCAGGTGTTCAAGAACATGTTTTTCCACCCTATTTTGAGAAACACTGCCCTACATCATGGCTACTAATTATTCCCAGGTGATATCATCATGTACATTTTTACGTATTATTCTTCATAGATTTCTTTAATACGCTTTTGACTGACCTGACTAAATGTCCTTTTACAGTATGAAAAAAATACTAGGATGGCCTGTAGTTTGAAGAAGCTTCCTGTTTGTTGGCCTTAATGAGATGTCCTCAAACTACCTTAGCTATGAGAATAAGGATGGTTATTATTACCCACCCATATTAGCCATTTACTCATGAGTTGTTTGGGGGTTTGGTTTAACCATTTATTTATGCACTATGAAGAATAGCTGGTATACTAACACTACTATATCAGCTACCAGGACATATCAAGGGAAAAGAAAAGACAGTGTTTCTTGGCTGTTCTGTAGCTTCCCAGATCTATGCAGAGATTGAATTCCTTTTTCCGTATAAACAACATAGTATTCTTTCAAAAATCCCACTTACCAAACACAATGGCTTTAATAATTATATATTTGAGAGTGTACTTTGTTCTTAATGTGTGGCTATAAGCATCTTATGTATATTTTTTATTTAACAAAACAATGCTTTGAAGGAGGCAGTATTCTAACCTCTTTTTCTTTTTTTTTCTAACCTCTTTTTCACCGAGAGTAAAAGCAAGGTATAGGGAATTTAAGAAACTAGGACTAAAAGATATTGTAAAGAAACATCCTAGTACCCACCACCAGCAAGGGCCTGGTGTGAAAACACAGGTGACCTGCTCACAGCCTGGTCTTAATTGCCAAAGGGGAATGACAGTTCTAAGTGCAGAACCATAGTGACAATCAGAAAACTACAAAGTATCTAAGGATGAGAATTCATTGTTTTGTTATGGAAAAATCAATTCAAATGCCCCTTTTTTCTCCAAGGCAACAATATCTATAATAACACAAATGAAAACTTGGCTAATTACTTTATATAGTTTTAAAGTATTATTGAAAGTAAAAAGTAACCTAAATTTATTTAATATACATTTTTTTAGAAATCTAGCCAGTTTAGATTGGCTTGCAAATCATACTACATTTTTATGATAGATTATTTGATAGGCTTTAAAAGTCATGATTTTGAAGAATCATTAATACAGTTGGAAAATGGTAAAAATTGTCATAAAAATATGACATTATTTAAAAATTTAATAAAATATAGATTATATTTTATTGTATATTTTATGCTAATGTATTATATAGTGTTTTTCTAGTTATTTTAAACTTTTTAACACCATTTTTTCACATATACCTATGTACATTTGTATATATATAAACGTATGCATACGTTTGTATACACAGATATATGCACAATCACAAGGAATTATACCAACTCTTTAATAGAGGTTATCTCTGGATGCTAATATTATGAGTCATTTTCATTTAAAAATTTATATTCAACTGTGCACTATTTCTATAAGGAACAAAAAACTATCATTTTTTTAATTATGAATTTGCCGTGGTTTATACTTTAAATCCATGACATGGGATTGGAAGCATTATAGCATAATGTATGAGTGAAACAAAAAAGTGTGTTTTGCTTCAAAACATAATTTAACATGCAAATCCTATTCTCCTGGCTTTTTTGTTGTTGTTGTTTAAGGGTGAAGTTGGCCAACAAGGTTTTCCTGGACCCACCCTACTGGTAGAGCCACCTGAATTTTGCCTCCATAAAGGAGAAAAGGTAACATCACTCCATAAGTCGAACTGTAAGTCACTGCAACACTTCCTGAACACACACCCATGGCAGCACAGTGCCGGCGAACATTGTGTGCGTAGCAGTGCTGATCTCAACAGGCCAGTGCTATAATTGGCCCCATTGTATTGGGGTGAATTATGAAGGTGTGGAAGATTTCATTGTTCCCAAGTTTACTCAGATGCTGAATGGATACCTTGTTCCAGGTGCTATCATGTGCCAAGACCTCTAAAGACAGAGCCTCATGAATATTGGGTTGATATGTGGACAGAAAAGACCACAGCAGCAAGCCCATTTGTCTGTCCTAGGATGTTATGGATGAGTCTGATGTCTTGGTAACTGAAAGGGTAACATGCACAGAGCTGAGCATGTGACAAACTGTAGCAAATGTTAATTCCTCTGTTACCCTTGGCCACATGCAGAATCTGTTATATATGTGTGTGTGTGTGTGTGTGTGTGTGTGTGTGTGTGTGTGTATTTTTTTAATTACTGGCTAAATTCCACTACTTCAGAATGAACCACTTCTTTTGGTGACTGCTTTCTCATATTTTACGTCTGTGACCCTAGTTCCATGGTGGCCCACCCCACACCTCATGCATTTCTGATACTGTCTTGAAGTGTCCGGGTCCTGGGTATGCGGGGATCTTAGTTGCTAATTAGTAGCGATGAAGAGTATTCCCTTATTAACATAAACTAATGAAACAGGTCATGAGAAGAGATGATTTCTAGGAGATGGAATCTATGATACATAAGTCAGATTATATTCTTCATATGTGTGGCTTTTTTTAGGGTATAAAAGGAATTCCTGGAATGATTGGACCTCCAGGACTGCCAGGACTCAAGGTCATTTATTTAAATATCTTTTTCATTTGTATTAGGTGCTTACTGAATTTCAAATTTTATTTTGCATGAGGTGCCATTGTTTTGAATGCTAGTCTATATGAGGTGTGATCAAAAAATATAGTGAACATTTAATTTTTTAAAAATGTGTTACAGTAAAAGTCACATGAGCATTATCCCCCTCAAAATGTTTCCCTTTGCTTCAGACCCACTTCTCCCATAGCTCTGGCTACTGTCTGTAGCAGTTCTGCAAGTTCTTTTTCATGAGTGTCTCTAAATGTATTGTCAGGGATGCCTGCATGTCCTGAATAGTTTCAAAACATTTCTCTTTCATGGTCACTTTGGGAAGGACCCAGAAGTCATAGGCTTCCAGGTGCAGTGAGTAAGGTGGACGAGGACCCTCAATAATGTTTTCACTTGGCAGAAACGTATGAACATTTTGAATCAGTTCAGGACATCAAGGCATCCATGACAGCACCTCTAAAGAAACGCACGAAAGGGCACTTCCAGAACTGCTTCAGAAAGTGGCAAGCATGACGAGATAAAGTGCTTCCAAGCAAGAGGAAATGTTATGAGGGGGGTTGATGCCAATGTGCCTTTTACTGTAGTAAATTTTAAAATTTTGATTTAAATATTAACTGTATTGTCTGATCATACATTCACATTACTAGACTTTTTTTTTTTTTTTTGGTACTGGGGATTGAACTCGGGTCCTTGCGCTTTCAAGGCAGGCCACCGAACCACTGAGCTAAATCCCCAGCCCAAGACTTTTTACTATCTCATTGTAATTCCACAGGGCCTCTAGATTAATGCACTTGATTTAAATTGTTGCTTTCTTGTTCATGAAACAGTGTTGTCTAAGTGTTGTGATCTTTTAAAGGGAGAACATGGTGTTGGGGTGAAAGGAGAGAAAGGCATTCCTGGCTTCCCAGGACCTCGGGTAAGGATAATTTTTCTTACCTTCTGTGAATTTGGAGGCATTGCTCTTCTACAGATTTGTAAGAGTAGATTTGTAATTCCCATGAGCTCAAAAGTAGAGAACATCTCACATAAGAACCATATATTTTGGAGAACAAGAATTGTGTGATAGGTAAAAGTCCCAGCGCATTCCTTCTATTGGCATCATTTACATAAATGAGGCATGCAGAAGACAAAAAAATACGAGAGCAAGTAACAGGATTATGGCCTCTCTTGTGTTGCTCAGTGTCAGTGTGATAGTTATTTGGAATAGTTAACTTACACCTATTCCATAAAAATAAGATGCTGATCTAAGAATAGAATTTTGGAAGAAAAGCTCAATATCAGGCAACTAACATCACCACATGTGTTTTTAATGGGATGCCCCTGGGATCCACCGTACAGTTTCTAGCTGGACATGGGCATTGAGCTTATTTAACTCTAGATTTGGTACCGAATGGGGTAACGTTGGCTTTTATGATCCTTTTTATCATGAACCCATGGTCATTTTTTATGAGTGGTTCACAGAACAACTCTTAATTTCTAGACACATATAGTGCAGTGATTTTTAAAGATAGTTGACTTAGTGCAAGGATTAAATTAAACAAATTAAAATGGGAAGTCAAAACAATGAAAATACATTCTTAATCAAAACACTGGCAATGACATGAATCAAATAGAATTAAGGATCAAAGTAGCAGGGCCAGGGATTTAGCTCAGTGGTTCTGCTGCCTGCCTCTCAAGCACAAGGACCTGAGTTAGATTCCAGGTACCAGAAAAAAAAAAATCAAAGTAGCAAAAATTATAAATAAATGGAATGTGTTTTATATTAATTTCCTTTGATTCAACTGTTTATGCAAAGAAGACTATGTATGCATAGAACAATTTGATGAGGTAAAAATATTATACAACAAGTCAGCTCGTGCATTTTAATTTAATTCTGCTTGTTGATTTTTCCTGAATCCATTAGGGTTACCCTGGTTCCTACGGATCTCCAGGTTTTCCAGGACTAAAGGTAAATGTGCATCATTATAGAGATGACAGGTACCTGTCCACTAGTAAGTGCAGTTCAGCATCTCTCAGAGATTGTGCTATTGGATGCCAGCGCTTCCAGTGATTGGGAGGCAGACACATTTACTCCATGGATTACAGGATTGAGCTGGGCTCTAAAAACTGAACCTCAAAACTGTCTGATGTAGCGCATGAGCATCAGACTTTACTCAGAGCCTCAGTGAGCCTGTGTCATTCAGATTAGATGAGAATGAGCTAATTTGTCACCTGATTATATTTAATTTTTAAAAATACACATTTGGCTTGTTTGTAGGGAGAACAAGGGCCGGTTGGAGATCCTGGGCTATTTGGATTTCTTGGCCCAAAGGTAAAAAAATGATTCTATTAAATATATTCTGATAAAATCTTATCTCCCTTATATTATCTAGTGCATTTTAAAGAACCATTCAAAAATGAATGAAAGAGTTTGAGTTAGTTTTATATTATTTTAATGCATGCTGTGGTTTAGTATGCATGATTACTATATTATCCTATCATTATATTAAGCATAATTATGGCATCGTGTTTGTTTATTCTGCTGGCAATGGAACCCTGAGCCTTGCATCTGGTAGGCAAATACTCTACCTCCGAGACACATCCCCAGCCCTATGATAATGTTTAGTATTTGCTGCTAAAATGAAAGGAGGATTCAGAATTTACAGGTGAATAAATTATTTGTACTGGAGCACCACATTACATACTAATGCATATACTCTATTTAAAAAAAATTAGTGACTTCAGAAGTATTTAATGTATGGCCATATGAAAAATTTTGTTGGACTTTAATTTTTTTTTCTTTCGTGGAAGTTTTGTCAGTTTCTTGTTTACCTCTCTGTGTAGGTGGGAGATCAATATATCTTTGTTCTTCCTGGAACTTCATGAACCCTTCATTTCCCTAGTCAGCCTACAGCCTCTACTCATGTGATTGTGCGAGTGGCCTTTCTAATATTTGTTTAAATGCCCAGAGTTAAACATGATTTAAACAGTCATACTTCCAAGAAAAGTGAACAAATGAATAATTTCAGGGGGATCCTGGAGACCGCGGGTACCCGGGACCACCAGGGGTTTTGGTAACTCCGTCTCTTCCACTCCAAGGTTTGTGTTCTATTCATTTCCTCCACAGTTTATGCAGAAATAGGATGGCTTGAGTGTCCCAGCCAAAAGCGTCTGGCCCGTCATTCCTGTGGCTTGTGCATTAGGCAAGTTAATACCTGAAATTTAGCATGAAAATAAAATTATACACATGCAGGTAGAGAGGCACATCTTGGTTCATGTCTAGTGGTCTAAGATATCAAATTTTATTTGTTTGTAAACTGTATGCTGTGATTTCCATAATGAAAATTTTCAGAAAATAATATTTTTAATTCCTAAAAACATAGAAGATCATTTGACTAACACCTCTTGAGGTGCTACTTCTTAGTTAGAACCCTAGATCAATGACAGGTAGAGGTCACACGAAGTTCATCTGTGAAGGCCAGCATGAGGGGACCCAATCTAAGATATTCCACCTAAAATGTGTCAGAAAACTTCAAGAGTCCCCAATTATGTTTCTGAAGCCTCACAGAAAGTCATTATGTCTGAATTTCAAAATGTATACAGAGTTTATTGACACCTATCATGATCTTTGGCAGGTCCTCCAGGAGACCCAGGATTCCCTGGCCTCTATGGAGAAATGGGAGATTTTGGACCTCCTGGTCCCCCAGGTCCTTCAGGCCAACCAGGGGAAGCTTGTCCAGGTACGGATCTGCTGCATTTTACATCCCGGATTCCCTACATCACATCCACTGATACACTGAGATCGTCTTAGGAGTGTTTAAAAGAGATCAGTGCCCTGCTCACCTCAGACCCAGCAAACAATGCAAATGTGGCCCTGCATTTCTAATGTACCGTCAGTATGAGGATAACTGGACTCAAATCAATCGATCATTTATTAGGAAAAAAATACAGGCTCATTAGCTGATCAAATTATATCAGCCATGTTGTGAGGAACATAGACACACAACAGGCCTCCCCCAAGGTGGCAAATTAGATTTGAAACTGCAGCTAGAGTTAATGTTTCCTCATGTTCCTGGGCTCTCCTTGTTGACATCTACTTGTAAAATTTCGATCATCTACCAAGGCCCCAATTTAAGCCTTCTATATGCAATGTACAAAAGAAATTATGACTGAAAAATAAAACTTTGATTCAGCCTTACTTCAAAGAAAAGACTTTGCTCTTCCTAAAAGAAAAACAAAACAAGAGAACTATAGGTCATAGTGACATTAGACTTAAAGCCCAGGAGAGTCCTGTTGGTATAAGGGCCGAGAGCTACTGGGGGAGCTGGGCTGATTAATATTCCTGGTAAGGCTGGGAATAGAAGTTAAAGAACATTTGCATTTTTCAAACCCAGGAGAACAGAACATGTGAGAGGAGCAAGTCTTGAATAAATGTAATTTTATCCAGCCTGTGTCTCATTATATTTACTGAGAAAGCCTAAGGAAGTTGTCTGAGATATTCAGCTTCTAAATACAAGACTCTTGTTTGTTCTGTAAATCTAGCTTCTACTCTGCAGGGTTGGATGATCACAAAGGTCCTACAGCTTTGTCGAGATCATTTATTCTTTACGCTGTCTTAACTTAATTGACCCAGGACTGTACAAATCAGATGATAGAATATTCTGTTGGTTAGAAAGCACTAGACTGGTCTTAGATCTCTCCTTTTGGTATTGTTTATAATAAAATAGCTTCTCCAGCAAGTTGAAATCAAAACCCAGTGGGCATAAAGAACAAGGGTCTCTAGAAGATTCAAACACAAATATATAGGAGGCTTTTAATTCCACTTTAAAAATAAATTAACCAAGTGGCTTTAAATTACTGACTGTGATCCACAGTAAGAAATGTGCTTTATCTTGCTGTCTGTTTATATATATTACTCAAATTTACACATGTAATCCCATGGATTAAAACAGACTTCATTGCATAAAACCTTTTTGGTATGGAATATACCCTGGTGTCTATTCTATTCTTTTCTTTGGAAAAAAATTTTGATGCTTACCACAACTTCATTGATTTCATGCCCAACTGTGGCAGGGTCAAGGCGGAAATACACGGCAACCCATTCTCTCTGTTAGCAGAGGATGAAGCGTCCTCCTTGGGAGAGGGCAGGCAGTGGGAATCATCCAGGTTATCCAGTGGCTGGTTGTGGAGAATCCCAGTCAGACTGAGGGAGAGCAGGAAGCCTGGACAGCAGCCAATATACCAGGAGGCACATTTTCATTTATTCTTAATGCATTAAAGTACAGAGCCCTTAAAATACATATAATTTTTATAGTTATCTTCATTACATGCCATGGGATGAGGGTTTTAGAATCAGACACCTATAATCAGATCTCAGCCTTACCATTTAGTGGCTCTATATAGTACACTGTAGGATAGTACTTCAAACTACAAGGACTCCAATTTCTGCTGCTTATAAACTATCTAATCTTAGGTATTTATTAAACACCTCTTTAACTCACTTTTCTTATTTGTAGAATGGGCTCTTGTTAGGACTGAAGTTATATGTAGACAATCCTTAGAACACAGCCTGGTGCATAGCAAAGAATTAGTGCACTAGCTGTTATTTACAGTGTCACTGATACTTGGCCTCAATTTTCTGTGTCTTGTCTAAAAGGTATAAATTCAGCAGGTTTTTGTGGGGAAAAGATAAAGTTTGCAAGTATATGTATGTACATGGTCACCACAGCTACTACTGTAACCTGCATGCTATGTCACTGGCTACTGACAGGGTTTTTGTTATTTAATGCTGAACAAATTACCCCAGATCTAGTGGATTGAAACAATAATAATTCTTATATTGCCTCTTACTCTTTGTGTAGTTTAAGAGTTTAGGAAGAGCTAAAGTGAGCATTTCTGGCTCAGGGATTTTCACATGGTCACAGTCACATAGAGACAGAAAGCAGAGATTCAGTCCTAGCTGATAATCTCTTTCCTGTATGTCTTGGCTACTTTTTTCATTGCTGAGATAAAATAACCAACACCCAAAGTTAAAGGAGGAAAGGTTTATTATAGCTTGCAGTTTATAGCAGTTTCACTTCATAGTTGGCTGTCTCTGAGGCAGAGTGGCACGGTAGAGGGGGATCACAGAGGAGAAACAGTTCATGGTGGGTAGAAGGCAGGAAGGCAGCAAAGCAGTGAAGTATTGAGGAAGCAAGCTGCAAGTGGCAGCACAGTCATCTTTCTGTCCTTTACGTCCTGTCCAACCTATATACCCTTGAGGCAGGTAGCACTCATCCCCAGGGTGGGTCTTCCTATTATCCACACCCAGAACTAAGACAAATCAGTCAGTAAACTAATTTAGTAATCACACATCCTTAATCCCAGCATCATACCCTCTAGATCCATCTACCTTTGGAAAGCTCCACCAATGACCACATGAGGTTTTGGGGGGACACCTAGACATGAGCCATAGCATTGTATTTGTGGTGACATTTCAGAGCCTCCCTGTGTGGGTTTTCTACTTATTTAGGCTTCCATACAGCACCAGAGGGATCAAAGTAGTGCAGTTGTCTGCCTGGCAGTTCAGGACCCCAAGTCCCAGGTGTTTCAGCTTACACGGCAGGTGCAGTAGGGGCATGTCAAGGTTCTACAAGAGCATGAGGGGCCAAAGTAACTGTGATGCTATCTTTGAGAAATGCAGTCTTCCATGAAGAATTCTGGAACCAGGCCAGCTTAGGAAGAAGGAGCTAGGAGAGATGGTCACATTCATCTAAAAGCTTCCAGCTGTCTTTAAGCCAAGGACACCTACCAGCAAGAGGGGTCGAATGTCAAGGACAGCCAAGATTTATCTGCTGTTGCACCTCTTGGACCCTCATATGAACACACAAAACATCTGAACATTCACCAAGCTCATGCTATTGCTAGATATTGCACTAAGCTCCTTATGTGGATTATATATTTAATCCTCATAATAAGGCCAACAGATAGAGAAGATTTAACAGCTAAATAGCCTAAAGTCCCATGGCTAGGTGGAAAGGCCAAATTCAAAGCTGGCACCTCTGTTTTGTTAGCAACCTGAGCTGCTGGGAAAGGTAGGATGTTTATGCTCTACATAGACAATTAGGTGGCTCTATATTTATCCACTAATGTGCTAATAAGATTATTGAGATTAATTTTAACAAGTTATTATGTAGAAAGATTGAAAAATAATTTAAATTAAATATATTTATTTCCCTATAGCTCTAAAGAGCAGTGAAGAGGTAGGAAAGTCTGACTGTCCAAACCTGTTTGCACTTGAGTTTGTTTCAAAGAGAGCAAAGTATTTTGATAGCTGACATATTCACTTATTTTTGAGCTGTTTTCTACCATTTTTTCATTTAATGCAGTTTATTCAGATTATCATGATTTCACTCTTTCTTTCTAGCTATAATATGCTTTGTGTTAAGCCAAGTTTTTAAAACTTTTTTTTCTATGTCTACTTCTTTTAAGCACTGTCATTGGGAATAATTTTATTTTTTTTAAGAGCTTTGCTGAGATATCATTAACATAAAATTTTATTTTTTTAAGGTATACAACTTGCCATTCCAGTGTAGGTACACATTATGAAATGATTATCACTTTCCAACTGATTAATCTCCACACAGTTACCATTGTGTGTGTGTGTGTGTGTGTGTATGTGTGTAAGAGAATTTAAGATCTATCCTCTTGAATTTTCAAGTATGCAGAACCATATTGTTAAATATTGCCCCATGTTGTGCATTAGATCTCCCAAACTTGTTCATCTTACAGAACTGAGATTCTGTAATATAACGCCCTGATCTCTCCTTGCTCCTGCTCCTGACAGCCACCATTCTACTCTCTGTTTCTGTGACTTTATTTTATTTGAGAGAGATCATATGACATTTCTGTTTCCTTGCCTGGCATCTGTCACTGAATGTAGTGTCCTATGTCGCCATCCATTTCCCTTAAACCACTTTCATGATTTGAGGAAGCATGTACAAATTGTGATTTCTTTTGCCAGGAATCTTTACTCTGTGAGTACAAGTGATTTTCATTATTGCTTTGTCTTGCAGGCATTGTTGGACCTCCCGGACCACCAGGGCTTCCTGGTCCTCCGGGGTTTCCAGGGGAAGCGGGTATTCCTGCGAGGCCTGACTCTGTCCCAGGAAAAGCAGGGCAGCCAGGACCCCCCGGCTTACCCGGACTCCCAGGGCTTCAAGGAACCCCAGGGCCGAATGGTAGAGCATTTGTTGTTTATATTCTCTAGAATTTATGCTGCACTTGACTTTTGCAGGGTCATTCAAACAGCATATATTTCTAAATATTTAAAACTAAATATTAAAGCCATATAATGTTTCACGAACCAAATTAGTAGTATTAAAATTATTTTACAAATAAGCTGAGGTTATCAGTTTATCTCTAACAGATGCAATCAATTAATCAGGGATGTAAGGGGAAATGATAGAATTTTGTAAAGCAATACAATTTTTACTTTTTAAACATAGTTTTTATTTTTGTCAGGTGTATATAAGCCAGGTTTAAAGGGCAAACTGCTATAATAAGGTCTGTAATGAAGAACAGAAATCCCAGGAGGCAGCCGCTTCTTTTATCTTTCCTCCACAGGGATGATTATTTCAAAACATGCAGCTGAATCTTTTACTGTTTGTACATTGCCATTTGACATACACATGTTGTTATTCCTTCATTTTTCACTGTGGGCATTGTCTTTTGACTTCACCCTGTAGAAAATGAATGTAACTCATTTACCAGCATCCCACCACATAAGTACATTTACCACTCCTGTGACATGTCAGTATAGTTTTTGTCATGAATTTTTTTTGGGGGAAGTACCAGGGATTGAACACAGGACCTTGCGCTTGCGAGGCAGGCGGTAGAACCACTGAGCAAAATCCTGGCCCTGTCACGATTTTGATTATGTAAATATTCAGTGTATACCCAGAATGGCTGTAGAAGTGCTACTCACAAATTGAGCTATGTCTTAATATATTTATTACTTTCGCAACACAACATGTTGTAAATTGCCTTGTTTCCTTTGTGTGTTACCTTGGTGTTTTATATAATTGTTATTATCCTATTTTGAAATCACTCAGAATTATGTAAATCTCATCATTATATGCTCAACTGATTATTCTGTCAGTATTATCTCTTTGAATAAATCTTTTCTGGAGCTTTTTTACTTGTTCAAATTAGGTTATGTTACAGTTTGGTTCCGTTGTTGAGATACTGTTTTGAAAATTTTCACCATTATCCTGAAATTTTTGTCAACCCCCCCATCTCTCTGTGTTTTTCTTTTTCTGTCTATCTGTTTCTCTCTTTTTTTCCCACAACTTGTATTTCTTGCTGTATACTTCCTGAGACGGTATAAATGAGTAAAGTAGGGAAACTTCCTTTCTGAAAATGACTATTCTGTTGTGTATGTAATTTGGTTGACAGTTTGGCTGAATATAAAACTCTGATTGGAAATCTTTTTCCTTAGGACTGTGAAACATTCTGCATTGTTTTCTATTTTCCTGTGGTACTACTAGAAACTCAAATAACATTTATATACTTGATTCTTTATTTAGAATTTAGGAAGCTTGTGGGACAGAAGCTTTTGTCTTCAGTGCTTTAACTTTCAGAACAGTTTGCCTTTGTGTGATATATTCAAATTCACTTGCAAGTACTCAGTGGCAGTTTTCATACAGCACATCTTTTATGTCTGGAAGTTTGTTTTCAAGTATTTGTTTGAAGACATTGTCTCCTCCCCTTTTTCCCTTTTTTTTTCTTTTCTTATTCTGGACTTTATATTTACTTGTTTGTTAAAAAGCCAATCTAAGGCCAGATGTGGTTACACGTTTCTATGATCTCAGAACTCTGGGAGACTGGAGATTTGCAAGTTCAAGTCCAGCCTGGGCAAGTTAGTGGCTTAGGGAGACCCTGTACCCAAATGAAAAATTTTAAAGGGGCTGAAGATATAGCTCAGTGCAGAGGCCCTGGGTTCAATCTCCAGTACTGCACACACACACACACACACACACGCACAATTACATGTCTTTTTTTTAACCTTGATTATGCTTATCACTTTATTTTTCTAAAAGAGTTTTTGGTAGATTTCTTTAACTACAGCTTCCAACTTTCCTCTGAAAATTTCTATCATAATTCATAGGCACTATTTCCTTTCTGAGGATTTTATTATTGTTTTTTCTCTTTAATGCTTCCTTTTGCAGCAGCCTGTTCATGTTTCAGGGATAGCATGTCCTCCCTCATATGCTATTTTAATTATACTTTTTGTTTGTTTGTTTGTTTGTTTTCTTCCTGTAGCATTGTCTGTTTTCATTAATGAGAGTGGAATGGGAGAGGCTGGTTGTTTTTATTTTCTCTTTTGACTGCTGCAATTTCTGGGAAGGGATCTTCTTGTCTAAATTATTCCTTACCAGATCGTCCTATTTTGACTGCTGTCATTCTACTCCCTCTGCTCTAAGGAGGATGCTGATGTACTTTGCTTCTTCCTCAATTTTCCCCATTTCTTGTTTAGATCTTAGCCTTTTTAGGGTCTGCAAAGACCTTTTACATTTTACTTCTGTTTCTGTTATACCTCCCCATTTTGTTTCTCCTACAGATTTGTGTCTTTTAATAATATTCTTTGTCTTTTATTCTACTGGGATTTGGAGAGAATGTAAAATTTTCTGTTTGCATTGTGTCTGTCATCTTTAACCAGATGTGTTCATAATTTGCAAGCCATGTTATATGTTTTACTCATTACCTAATAATTGATAATTGACAGGGGAAAATATTTCTCATAGCATGACTATTTTTTGTTGATTTTGTTTTGCTACTTTGTGTTTGTTGCAGGTTACCTTGTTTTGCACTAATTTGGGGCTAGGATTAAAGACAGCTTTATCAGTGGTTATGGTGGTTTAAGTATGCCATGACAAGTGCATGTTGTGTATGTGTACATGAGAATAAGAGAGAGAGAGAGTGAGTGTGTGTGTCCTGGGGAAAGAATGGAACAAAGCATGAGGCTGAGAGGGGCGATGTAGGAAGGAAGATGTGAATGCAAGAGACTCTGGCTCTATAGGAGACTTTAACAAAGCTCCTGTGATTCTCTCTGCCCACCCATTATCCGCTATACAGTGGTACATTGCAGTGCTGGGCTCCTTGGACCACATGGAATAAAGGGCAAAATGGGCTCCCCAGGAGGAAGAGGCTCAAAAGGAGATAAAGGCAAGTGTACATCAGAGATGGAATTTCTAGAAGACAACTGCATATGGAGGCTGGTGGGGGGCGGGTGTGTGTGAGATGTGCTATGTGGCATCCATTCGAATGGGTTATCCCCCTTAGTTACTCCCTATGAGTTCTCTGCTTCATTGTATGCTCTGATATGATTAAAGTCACCAAGAAGTCACATCCTGGTACCTTCGAATATAAAGGCCATTGAAATTTGCCCTGAACGATGACTTTGCACACAAGGTCTTTTTGATTTTTTTGAGAGTGGCACATACAGGACAGTATAGATATTTTGTTTCCTTTTTTCTCTGTGAGTCCCGTATTTCTCAGACTCATTCATTGAATGCTTACGGCTCTAGGTTCTCCATTTTAAATTCTTTGGAAATTTCTGAGTGACTAAGACAGGTGATTCAACAGCACAGTACAACCAAGGAGTTTGACTTTCCTAAAGACTTTTTTTAAAGTCCTGACAATTAGAAAATATGTTGTGGTGAATTAGCCATTGTAATATGCAAGACAATCCATAATATCCCTTCATATATTACCTCATTTCCTTGATTATTGAGGGTTAACATCCTAACCAATTTTTTTTCTTTAGTTGAAGCCAAACACAGAAGCCAAATTATTTGTAAGTTTTAAAAATAAGAAAACTTCCCCGGGGCAATGCCCTGTGCTACCACCCAGGCCTCCCAGACCATGTTATCAGTTGTCCATGATAAGAATCGTGCCTGTCAGACAGTTTTTGTGCCCTCTTTGTACAGAGGAGTCCTCATCGGGGGTTATTTCTCAGGAAATGTGACAAAGCTGACAAAGTTGCCTTTTCCCCTCTAGGAAATGAAGGACTCTGTGCCTGCCCACCTGGCCCTGTGGGCCTCCCTGGCACTCCGGGGCTACCTGGGAGGCAGGGCCATAAGGGAGATGCAGGGCCGCCAGGCTGGCTTGGAGAAAAAGGCGACCCAGGCCCTCCTGGTGCTGAAGGACCACCAGGGCAACCAGTGAGTAGCTCCTCCTAGTCCTCATCTTTCTAGTAAGAGACAGAGAGAATTCAAGGCATCCTTTTCTAATTTATAGGAGATATAATCTGTAATTTGAGGCAATACATATTCATGACAAAAAAAATCATTACTAAAAAACCCTATATTCCTTCATCTAATTATTCATCCAGTTGCTATGTACTGACTGCCTATTGTGTAGCAGGCACTGTTCTACGCGCTGAAGATGCAGCAGGGACCAAAACACAGTCTCTACCCTCCTGGAGGGACGAAGAGGACACAGACCATATGACAGGCAAAAGACAGAGGTCATCACATCCAATGTGGCAGAGGAGATGACGTCAGAGACATGGCAGGAGGCTAGGAAGGGTTGCAGAATGTAGGGCTTTGCAAGGGATTCAAATCTGAGCTTTTACTAGGAAAAGCAGGGGAGAACTGTAAGAAGAGGGATGTATTCTGTCTGACAGTCACTTACATGGACCACTCATTCTGGTTGCTCTGTGGAGAGCAGACCATACACAAGAGAAGAAGCTGAGGATTTGCTAGGTGGCAGCTGAGTAACCCCAGTGATACAGGCGAGCAGACAGATTGCAGGGGTGCTGTTAGGTGGAGTGGGAGGTATTCAAATACTAGATGTATTTTGAAGACAAAGTCAATAGATTTGGCTGTCGGGCTGAGCATAGGAGCAGGCAGACCCAGGTTCTGATTTCCCCTCGACATTTGTGAGCTCTGTGGTCCTCACTGATAAAACGGATACAATACTGTCTTTCAGGTTTGTTAAGTTCAGCCCTACGTTTTGCGAGTGGTAAGGGCACACTAGAGAACGAGGGAATCTGAAAGCCAGCCAAATGTCACAAAGCATCATGGGCTACGTCTAACCCACTGGAGGGTTTCGTTGTGTTCTTAGGGTGTTCGTTTTTGGATTCCTCCATGAGATTCATGGATTTCCTTGAGAAATTGGACATCACGAGCAGAACACACAGTTAACACATTCCCACCACTGCCACTGGTGTCTTCATCCAGGTGTTAACATTCCTGTAACTCAGGGGACTCCTAGGGGTCCCAGTTCCCATGACGCACCCCTACCTGCTTCCCCTGCAGGGACCCCGCCCCTGTAGATATCTGCCATTGAAGTCTGGCTTAGTTACTCCCTGGTTGCTGGGACAACATACCTGAAGCTCCCAAGGTAAAGGAGGAAAGCTGTATTTTGGCTCACAGTGTGTAGAGGTTTCCATCCATAGTTGGCTGGCTCTGAGGCAGGGCGGCATGGTAGAGGGGCCTGGCAGAGGAGGCTCACTCAGGGCCTGGCCGTGGGAAGCAGCAAACACCCAAAGGTGTTGGAGGCACATACGTATCACAGTGGCCACCTCTTCTACCAGCCTTTACCGCCCGGCATCATTCCCATCCATGGACCCAGCCAGTGTCGCATGCCCATGACCCCAGGCACCTCCCAAGGGCCCCATCTCTGAGCACATGAGGCTTTGGGGGGACAACTAGATATAAGCCATAACCAAGTCCCCAATCTAAACTGCACATGAGGCAGCAGGGGTATGTATGCCTGGAAAATAGAACTTTTCACTCCTCTTGACCTCTTGTTGTATTAGCACAAATGTTTGGCGATCTTCTGTCATAGAATTGTGAAAAGTAGCTTTGGTCCCAAAGTTGCTGATAACCAGTCACTTAGCATACACAGCAGTCATTGCGCAGGTTATGCATTCGCATCCCTGGTGTCTAAGCACCACCAAGGCAAGATGGTTTTGTCAGCTGCTGTGTCCTTAGTACTCAGAGTAATTCTTGGTCCTTTGCAATTTCATTTTCTTTCAGAACTAGGTGTGAAATTCAGGCCTTTCGGGCTGATGCTTTTCTTATTTTACTCAGCCTTTTAAATTTTATTTTTGAGACAAGTTCTCACTAAGTTTCCCTTCTCTTGCTCACCATCTTCCCTGAACATCACATTTTCTGGCTCCCTTTCGTCACACACTTAGCTTTAAACCTCTACCTTCTGTACTGGTTAACTCACTCTCATCTTTGTTCTCAGTTCAAAGCCTAAGACAATTTGAAAAATAATTCTGTGTTTTTATTTGAGACAATTGAAGACTCCCAAGAGGTTGCACAGTCACATAGAGAGCTCTCTTGTATCCCTTCCCCAGCCTCCCTCAGTGATGTCTTACATGACTATGGCACATTGCTAACTATTAATTCAGGTACAGACCTTATTTAGATTTCACCACCTTTCGCTTGCAGCTCAGTAGCCTCAGTTTTGTGAGTCAGAACCACAAATGGAAGGTGGGGAAGGGGAAGAATGTCAACAAGAGGTTTTGGACAAAAGAAAGGGAGGTTAACTATACCCAAAAATGACCAACTTTGAGCCATCACCATTCATCTGTTGCTCTTATTTTTCACCAAGGGAAACACTGGTGTTCAAGGACCTCCTGGCAACAGAGGAGCAAAGGGTGACATGGTGGTAGTGAGAGTTAAAGGTGAGCACGGTCAGTCACTTAGCTTCTTGCTGTTTTGTGAATGATACATGAACCATCCTCTGCCATTAATTTCCCCTGTGACCGCAGATCAATTCTATATCATTCAGGATTGCTTAAAAAACTCCCTGCCCTTATATGACGAATGTCAGCCCCTTAATCTCCTGTCCCTTGCTTGAAAACATAAACGCTCATATTCACATCTTTATTGCAGTTAACTTGGGTTTTGAAAGAAAATTTCCTTTGACTTTCTATTGTTCCCTCACTGTATTGTAATATTTTATACGAATGAAGAATATTTTAATTGAAAATGACAGACACCTAGCTTGAGGGAGTTCGAGAGAGACAGTAATTTATTGTGAAAGGCCAGATATGGGGTTTGCACTGGAGCACTGGATCCAGGGCCTCCCACGCAGTCAGGAGGCTCTCTGCAGCATTCAGCTTTTATTGTCCAGCTGCATTTTCCCCCACCAGGCTGGCTTTTTCCAGGGTGTGGGATATTCGCCTCCAGACACCACAATATTCTTATGACCATAGAAGAAGAAAGCTCTGCTTTGTCTGCTCCAGTTAGAAAAGTCATTTCAGAAAGGACTGATTTCACTTAGGGAAAGATCCTGATCATGGCCATTCCTTTAGTCGTTGAGGCCAGGGATAAATGCAGTGTTTGACATCACGCAGGCACGGTGGTATTCTGTATCTGGCACTTCCATATGCTACTTCCTTGGGCGAATGGGAAGAGATTTTCCCAACTAAAGAGAGTCAAGTGGTTTGGTGATGGTCATTTTCTCCACTGGCTTTGGCATGGTTTATGTGACTCTGGGCAACCAATACATTCAGAGGAAACTCTACAACCTACACACAGTCAAAGTCATTGCCTTTGTCTTTCATCTTCCTTTCTCTTTAACCCCCTGCTGATAAAAGCTTGAATATCTTTTGACCTCTGTTCCTAGGGTACAGAGGAGAAAGAGGACCTGACGGGCCTCCTGGATTTCCAGGGCAGCCTGGACAAGATGGTCAGGATGGACATACTGGAGAAAAAGGGGATCTGGGACCCCCGGTATGGATAATTCTCCTGCTGTAGAATTTTACTTTCTTAGATGTTCACCAAAGCATCTATTTTCCCCTTCTCAATTTACCGCAATGTAATTCAGTGTAGTTTTCAGTATAGTATCACAGAACCTGGGCTAGAGGTTTCACTTGTCTACTGAAGGGCAATTATCTTCCCAGTTTTAGAGTAACAAGATAGAAGCTGAGTGTATGTTACTCAAGGTCACCCATCTATCAAGTTGAAATGGAAACTCCAGTCTGTCTTATTCCAGATTGTGTACTGACCCCATCAGACTGTACTGCCTACATGTGTTGGGCAACTACAGAGGTTTTAGAATAAGGAAGGGCTACTTGTAAAGTAGACCCTTTCAGACTAGATGCACACAGATAAAAGAAAGATCTTTAAAAATGGGTTCAATAATATTTATGTGTATCTTTCTGGCCTTTTGCCTTGTGCTGTATGCTTGGTAACAATTCATTCTTCCTCTTAAACTATTTGGACACTGAGTGGTATTTGTCCTAATGTACTCACCTAAATGTGGAAATGTGTTTTCAGACCACATTGGGAAAGGGATTTTTTCAGCACTCACTTTTCTAAAACACCCCTGGGCTCCCTCTGGATGCATGGAAATAATCCAGACCCACAAGATTATCACAGAGCACACACTGGGGACCAGGCCACTTGGAAGGGCTAGAAGATAGGACTCTGGCCTTGCCACAGGCAGTGTGAGGTGTTCCTCCCCTAAGAAGCCCTGCAGGTGGGTGTCCAGCTGTGGTGCAGGATCGGGATCACAAATGGTGGATGGGGGAGTAACCCTGACTGCAGAGCCCCCAATCTGTTATCTGCACAACACAGCTTGGAAACCTACCCATTACAGGGCCCCCTACTCAAGGAAACACCAACAAAGGCTCCCGAGATCTTTATCGTTCTTCCAAATCACATGAAAATGTTACCATCTTACTGTAAGATATGTCTCTCAGGGATGTAGTGTTGATCCCATTTTTATCATATTTCTGGAAGAACAGAGAGCCAAACAGCCTAAGGTCAGACTCTCATGCAGAAGGGGAATGCATTTGTTAGCCCTTTACCCACACGTGTGGAGGGTGATGCCGTCACCAATGTGCCTTCCTAGAAGAATGCAGGACAATGATTTCAAATACTTGAGAATGTACATGCTTTGTAAGCTCACCACCTCCTTTGGCTCACTTATTTCTATATTGCATGATATTAGAGGTGAGTTCTACATAAATTTTTTCATTCTATAACCCACACTGTACTTTCTGTATTTAAGGCATACCTCACACACTTGTACCATATATGTGTATGTAAATATGCAAAATATGTATGTAAAATATTAGAAGAATCTAACATTTTAAGTTACACTTGCTACAGAGTAACTGTCTCCTGGAATTATGGACTTTTCCCATGTGTTTCTGTAGCCTACAATGACTGCTTCTAGTTCAAAGGTTGGTAACTGACTCATGGCATAAACATTCCCAGGGGGATCATGAAGATGCAGCCCCAGGTGAGAAGGGGTTTCCGGGACCACCAGGTCCCCCTGGAAAAGCAGGACCGGTGGGGCCTCCAGGACTAGGATTTCCTGGTCCACCGGGAAAAAGAGGTCAACCAGGCATCCCAGGCCGCCCAGGCGAGAGGGGCCCTGATGGCTTGAAGGGGCCAAAAGGTAATTTTTAATGTTTTTGTGGCAGAATGTCAAGTGCAATCATGAATAAAGTGAGCATCTCCCAGACAACATTATTACTTCTATGGCATAGGAGTTCACCAAAATTCCATCAAACAGCTTTCCAAACCTTGCAGGTTGTCAAAAATACATGAGCTTTATAGCACAATCAATATTTAAAACCAGTCTGGAAAGCCTAAGTTATCTTTGTTCCATTATTTGTTTGGCATGGCAAAATTGCTTTTCATTCATTTCTCAGTATCAACTCATATAATCTGACTATATTAAAATTACATATATATTCAGAGTATCTGTTTTTATAATCCTTTGAGACAGTATATTTTAATAAAAGAAACACTAGTGTTTTATTTTTTAAAATATGGTCCATGAAAATCTAGTTGTAAATGTTCTGGAGAGAGAAAAGAAAGATATTTTAAATATACTTGACAGTTATGTGAATTTCAAAAAAAATAAAATAGCTTTCAGGGTTAGAGCTGAAAGCCTTAAAGAAGACAAAGAGGGCTTTACTGAAGTTTTCTCTTGTAATAGATACATTTACCTTGGCCTTTATTGTTAATTCTAAGGTTTTGAAATAAGATAACATTTTTAGTTCTTGCTTTGACACCATACGTTGGCAGCTATGTTTGTAAGAGCTCAGAAACATGTAACATCATTTTTACATTCATTTCATGCATTTTTTTATTTGAGAGGTTATAAACGAATACGTTATGAGATTACTTCTATTATAAAGATGAAGCTTTACATTTTGATAGGATGTGGCAACTCAGTTAAAATGTGGATGAGAAGAGCTTCACTGCACAGTTGTTAGAAAAACAACAGATAGTATGTTTGAAGCACGTGACCCACGGCAGGTCCTCAATAAATGGTGGCTGTTGTTCCGAGCTCTTCATTTGTACAATTTCCCATTTTGCAAGCCAGGGGCCAAATCTTCTGAACTCAGTTTTGGACTTTGGTTGCTCTCTCATGATCTAGCAAAGATTCTGATTCCATGGTGTAAGGTATATATGGGCCTATAAATACATTATTTTTTTCTAGGCTACTGTAATTAATACTTCTTAGAATCAATAATTTTCTTTTCTCCATTACATTTGTAACTGTTTGCAGAGTTAGACATTTTGCATAAAAGCGATTTAAGTGATCTAATGGTACTTGGGAGTCTTGGGTTCCTTTGGATTCTAGATATACTATGTGGAAAAATGTTTTGAATGAGTTGTCATTAAGACTCACAATTCCTATCACTCGTGTGCAGTTACTGATAAAATGCCACTCTTTTTTGCATTCCAGGTGACACGATTCCTTGTAATGTAACCTATCCCGGGAGGCCAGGCCCTCCAGGCTTTGATGGCCCTCCAGGTATCATCACTAACAAGTTGCTGTCTCATATACACTTCTCAGAGAAAAGAACCGTCCAGACAGATGACTTAGCCACTTTCTGTCGCTGAGACCCAATACTCGACACCCACAATGTAAAGGAAAAGAGGTTTATTTTGGCTCATGTTTCAGTAGTTTCAGTCCTTGCATGGTTTGCCGGCTCCAAGGCAAGATGGCACGGCAGAGGATAACCACTTACTGCAAGGCAGAAAGGAAGTAGAGTCAAGGGAGGAGCCCAGAAGGGATACATAACCGTCCTGGTCACGCCCACAGTGACCTGCCTTTTCCAACCAGGCCCCCGGTAAAATCCAATCACCTTCCAAAGGTCCCACCTACATCCCATGAGGCTTCGGGGGGCCATCTAGATATAAACATAACAAAAGATAAGCCAATAGCAAATTCTGACAATTAGTAAGGGCATCTCAAAAATTACAAAGTTTTAAGGTGCTAGGGGACTGGGGGAAGCAGCATGTAATGATGACAGTTGGATGCCTCTTTGGCTGGTTTAAGCATAGTCCATATCGGCTTTTCAAACCTTTATGCAATGAAATGTACCTTGATGTTGTCACATATTAGCTAACTGCCTGGCTTTTGAGAGTTTTAAAGCTGCATCATCTTTCTCTTCCATGACCTAAGAGTAGAAAGTGCTCATTTTCTTATATGGATTATAAATTTCTTTTCACTCCACATTGGAAGAGGACCAACTTCAGCTGATCTAAAACGGTGTCTGTTGGCTTGACTCCTAGCCACAGTTTTAGTCTAGGTCTGCAACATACATCCTATTGTGGGGTTAGGGGGTGCCCCTCTCATAGGATTGCTGAAATGCAAGAGGACAGGCCCAGCCTCAGACACTGACTTCAGACCTTGGACTGCCAAGTCACATGACCAAGCCACAGGTCAAAGGGCAGGGAAGTGTACTCCATCCAGCACAAGGGAAAGGTAGGAGCGTGGAAACAGAATTCTACACCAGTGAAGAGAAGAACTAGTGGTTACCAGGTGTGACAGCACAGGCCTGTGAACCCAGCACTCAGGATGCTGAGGCAGGAGGATTGCTACAAGTTCAAAGTGATCCTGGGCTACATAGTGAGTTCAAGGCCAGCCTGAACTACATAGTGAGACCCTGACTCAAAAAACCAAAACCCCCAAAACCAAACAAAACAACTAGTGGTCGATGAACTGAACATTCATTTCCACTTTTAGCAGGACCTTAATCATGGATGGATGAAAAACATCTGATTACTTTCAGTAATTTGGGCTTCAAAAGAAGTCAACATTCATACTCCTAAGTTGGCAGTTATACCTTATTTGAAGTCCATATTATTTTAGTTAAGAAATTATTTTAGTTAAGTCCTAGTAGGAAACAAAATGTTTAAGATAAAAATCTCAATGCCTTCTGCGGGCATTTTTGCTCATACTGCATAGGAGGACAAATGTGGTGAGATGAAACAGATTTAGCTTTCTTACCAGCATAGATGCTGGCTACTACCTGTGCTCCTACTTGGACAGAGTAGGCCTGCAGATTTGTGTTGGAGACCCAGTGTGGGAAGATGACAGGAAATTCATTTGAATGGTGGTGTACATGCCAAAGGCTTTCAGGAAAATCCTTTAGGTTATAGTCGGGAGAAAGTATCTTAACAAAACAGAGTACCTGGCTCATAAAATGCTTTTTTAAACCAGGGTAGCCAACACCTTTGCTCTCATAAAATAGGAATGCTCAAAAGAGACCTCACATAGACATTTTAATGACCTCACTGTGTTCCCAATTGACTTGTGTTTTCCTGAATCTGTGTTTTGCTATTGTTTAGGTCGGAAGGGATCTCCAGGTCCCCCGGGTGCTCCTGGGCTGAGGTGTTTGGATGGACCCAAAGGCCAACCAGGCCAACCAGGAATACCAGGGATACCAGGCCCACCTGGTAAATGAAGTGTTTTCCTGATTAAGGAATGTCTACCAGAAATTTAAAAATTTTCTGAAAATGGGTGACTTTAGGAAAATGGCCCAGGGGTCAGTGCCTACGCACATATATAAGCACTGATTACATTTCCTATAACCCAGTCCTCCCGTGTTGCCTTCACATTTTAGTTTTAGTTTTTAAATACAAGGTATCTCACTGTGGCTCTGCCAGCTCAATTCAATATGGCGACACTTCAATATGGCATCTCCATACTTTGTGCTCAAGGTATTAATATGTCAGCTCTGAGGACACCAAGAGCAGAATTTGTGTAACCTGCTGGCTGCCAACACCAAGCTGAAGAGAATGGGGAAATGGCTTCTCCAGATATAGGAGACCCTTAGCTGTGTTGTGGTGACTCCTAGATGATAATCTTGTGTCAAGGCTCCTTCCATCTTGGAGCATGAGTAATAGGCTATCAGTTTATTGTATGGTTGTAATTGCTCAGTTCAAGTGAAATATTTTCCAGAGAATGAAAGCAATTAGGAAAACATCACTGAGTTATAGGAAACACAAAATTACAGTCTGTCTTTCTACTAAAGCTGGCAAAAACATCATTAAGCATCACAGATATTATGTACACACTCCTGTATGTTTTAGAAAGGTGTGTTTATCAAAGTAGCAGCCTTTTAGGCATTGGCTCTACACTTATACTAAATTATTGTTGTTTTTAAATAGGTTTTCGTGGTGACGTGGGAGATCCTGGTTTTGGAGGTGAAAACGGGTCCTCTCCTGTTGGACCCCCAGGTCCCCCTGGGCCACATGGAGTGGATGGTCAGAAAGGAATGCCAGGAGAACCTGCATTTGCTCAGCCAGGAGCCCCTGGAAATAGGGGTCTTCCGGGAGTGCCAGGGATAAAAGGATCCAAAGGTGATCCTGGATGCCCTGGGCCTGAAGGTATGAGAGGTCTGCTATCTCTGTAGTCCAGAAAGCCAGCTTGGACTTGGAATAGGTCCTTACAGAATGATTAAACTGTCATGTTTTAGACAGCTAAAATGTCTCTATACTTCGCCCAAGCACCTTCACTGATACAAAAGCACTGACTACATTTCAAATAGCATCCCCCAGTGTTGCCTTTGCCTTTTATTGGTGGTTTTCAGTGTGGCAGTGCCAGCTTGATTCAATATGACAACACTGAACACCTGCCTGCTTTGAACTCAGGACAATACTTTAGCTGCCCAAACACCAAGAAGAGAGACTGTGTAACCAGTCCACTGCCGAAGCCAGGCTGAAGGTACAGGACAGACTGTATGAGAACAGGCAACCCAGAGGACAGAACAGTGTGGGCTGGGGTGCAGGGGAAGCTCTCTGAGCTGGGTACAGGTGAGTCCTGGAAGGCAAGCTGTCTGTGGACCGGGTGGGAACACTTTTACACCACTTGAGGCAACAGGTAGGGCAGTGAAACTCAAGATAGGAAGATGGCTTGAGCACTGATTTGGAACACACAGTGGAAGTTTTCAGATTTTAATATACATAAAAAATGATCTGGGCTGTCATTAAAGCTACCATCTTCAGGGCTCCAGTCTTAGGAATTCCGATCCATTACATCTGAATAGTTTGTGGCTGTCTGAACTTCAGTGAGTCCTCTGGGAGATGATGATCCAAGCGTGGCCCACAGACCAGATGCTGTTCTGTCTCTTTCCTAAAGGCGGATGGGCCACTATTTATTAGGCATCCGCTGGACCCCTCAGCACATCGGCTCTCTGTATTCGTGGATTCTGTGTCCTCAGATTCAACCAACCATGAATCAAAAATAGTCAGGAAAAACACTGCCTCTGTAATGAACATTTACAGATATCTTTCTTGCCATTACTCCCTAAGCAATACACTGTCAATTATTAACATAGCATTTACATTGTGTTAGGTATTATAAGCAATATAGCCATGATTTATACAAAAGGACTGGTGCAGGTCCACATGCAAATACCCCTTCATTTTATGCAAGGGACTTGAGTACTGTGGATTTTGATGTCCTTGAGGATGGAGCTGGAGGACATCGGAAACACTAGAATTAAGGAGCATATGTACACAAAAGAATAGCACTGGTGCTCACTTTGACAGCACATATACAAAAGAATAGCACTGGGTTATTAGTAATGAAAACCATATTTGTAAAGATGACAACAAATAGGAAACATTTGTGAAGTGATATGCATTGTGAAACAACCCAAGAAAGGTGAGTTGTGATTGCTATTTTTAAGATGTAAACTAGTGAACCAAAATTCAATGAAAACAAAAATAAAATAGATTTTTTTTTAGGTGAGGGTGTGAAATTATGGTGGATTTATCTTTCTTCCTGAAGCTGATGACACTGGGTTTCCAATAGATAGAAATTTGAGAGTACAGGTGATTAAAATCTCTTACAAAATGCAAACCCATACAGCGTAAATTGGGTTTGTGTTACAGCAATTTGGTGTCACAAAGGTACAGACTAACTGGAAGCAGGAAGAATTGTGTGGTTTCTTATTTGCATCAGTAACTTCTTTGTCATCCACATATCTTTACTAAGCAACTCACTTAGCAATGCATGGGTTTTCTGTTCCTCTGGAGATCACTGTATCTTTGATAAGAAAATCTGTTCATTCGGAAATTTAGTTCATTTAAGCCCGGGCTCAGGATCAAAATGTTTCCTTCCTTTACTAAGGCATGAGCAGTTTGTTACAGGCCATCTCCATGGTTTTAAGCCATGACTGTCTCAGATGTGCTGTGTCTTTACAGGGGCAGCTGGCATCCCTGGGATGCCAGGTCACCCAGGTCCCAAAGGCAGGGCAGGAAGTGCTGGGTTTCCAGGCATCCCAGGTCTACCAGGCCATTCCTGCCAAAGAGGCGCTACAGGGATTCCAGGCCAACCAGGACCCCCGGGGGCTCCAGGTAGCCCAGGTAAGTGTCAGTGGATGTCAGGAACCCGAGGGGTCTAAGGTTTATGCTACTTACAAACAAATACACTTACCTCCTGTGGCAGAAGCCCGAGTCTCAACACTGAGACAAAGAGCTTGTTACTTGTGTGTTCCATGTTGGCTATGACATTAGCCTACGCCACCCAAGTCCCAGGGGCCCAATGCCAAGGGGGGCCAGCTACCTGCTGTACAGTCGTGGGTTGCAGTATATGAGAAGGGTGCTGAATCCAGGAATAGGTGCTATAGAATAGCCTGCAAGGAAACCTGTTCTTTGTATTGGAGGAGGCACTATATTGCCGCAGACTGAGCCTGAAGATGGTGCCTCGCCTCCTCCCTACTTCCTTTCTCCGCCACGGATTAAAGAGTCGGACAGACAGTCTGTTCTAATATTGTAGATCCCGGCTGGCAGAGGCCCCAGGAGACATTTACATTGTCTTTCCCTGTTTCCTTCCTGCGCATGCCCCAATCACGAACCAATCAGCTACCTTGTGCCTGGGCTTTGCCCCACCTTCCTGTTTGCGTTCCACTATAAATGAAGAGCGTGGCGATCCAGGCGGTCATTAGCTCCCGACAAGCTATGGTTCCGTCTGGTCCCAAACTTCAAGACTAGTCGTGGTTTTTTCTTTTTCTTCTTCATTACCCACCTCTCTCCCCTGCTTCAGATCTCATGTTGTGCCGGCTGTGGCACTGTATCATCTGTCAAGGTTGCTTCCTGCAAACGCAAGCTTGAGAAACAGCCCAGGGAAAGAAAAACAAAGTCATGGGGTTGCGTTCTTGCCGCCGCCAGCCAGACATGAAAGAGTGGTACTAAGGCGCTGTTTCATTCCATCAGGGCTACTGTGACAATATGCCTCAGACCTGGTCACTTACAAACAACAGATCTGTTGCTTTCAGTTCAGAGGCTGGAAAAATCCAAGACCAAGGCACCAGAGGCTCTGTGTCTGTGAGGACCCATGCTTCACAGATGGCCCCTCCGTGTCCTCCTACGGCAGAGCAGTGAACAGTTCCTCACCCCTCTTCATAATAAGGTCACAAACGTCATTCATGAAGCTCTCCACTCACTACCCAGGGAGCTCCTAAATTCTCTTCCTCATGCTGTCACACCGGTGGTTACATGTCAATGCACAAAACTCCCAGGAGTTATATTCAGACCTGAGCCAGGGCTGTTTCCAATATGATCTTCCTTTCATTGTGGAGATTGTTAATTTGTTCTTTAAGTCTATTATTGCTTTTATCCAAATGCAAGAATATGTCCACTTCCAATGTGAAATCAAATCAAAATTTGTCACTGCAGCCTCATTTTTAGCACCAATAACGCCAGCCACTGCTGCTCTGAGTTTCACTCTCTTCTCCTCATAGTTAAGAGCCTGACTGAGCTTTCCTTGGGCGGAGAGAGCTTCTTTAGGTGCCCAGAAAGTTTTCTCCTGTTTATACTAAAATTGTTTTGTTCTTTACTCCTACTTTCCATTTAAAATGTCTTCATAATCTACATGCATCTCTACTGGGAGATATTTATTCAAATGATCTGCCCTTCCTTTTATAGCATCCAGAAAAATATATTCCTAGACAGTAAAGTTGTTACTGTTATTTTAGCCAATAAATATTGTTTTGCTTGTGTTTAATGGGCCCTAGATACATAATTTGAGCTTCTGTATCTTTTTCTCATCTAGGTGGGAAGCCAGTTTTCAGTCTTCATTCCTCATTGTCATTTGTTTGTCCCAGGTGCCCCAGGTAGGAAAGGACAGCAAGGAGATGTGGGGTCTCCTGGACCCACTGGAATGAAGGGCTTCCCTGGACCCCCAGGACTGCTTGGGGCAAATGGACCCCGAGGACCTCCAGGAATCCCAGGCCACTTTGGAGAAGATGGGCTTCCTGGTCATCCAGGTCCAAAGGGTAAGTAGCATTTTTCCTGTATTTCTTCTTATGTCATAAGTTTAAAATCCACTGTCAGGTGAAGCTTCCTATGCACGATGATAGTAATAGCATTTACTGTTCTATTAGCTTGCCTTTGTCCTTCGCTGCATGGTCTCCGTTTTTCTGTCCTGTGTTGTTACTTTCTGTGGCAGAATGGATTGTTGTATGTCAAGTTGCAGCCACAGGTTCCACAGACCTTGAACTAATGAAGGCTGGGCGGGACGGTGAAGTCCTGAGGCCAAGGCTAAAGCATTTCACTCTGCTAGCCCGCCACCCTCACCGCATCCCTTAGTCCTCTAACCCATATGGGATCAGGACCCAGAAACATCGGGCCTGCATGTAGGGTAGAAAAGAGAGAGCACAGCTGTTGGGATGGCGTGCTTGACAATCTGTTTCCTGTCTGTGCAAACCCAGAGTGAGGTGAGAGTTTGCATTTCTCAGTGGACTACAAAGAACACAGGTATAAGGCTCCCACCAACCTTTAAAATGGTTTCCCTAGGGATTTAGCTCAGTGGCACCACAGCCCGCCTGGCAAGCACAAGGTCCCACATTCGCATTCAATTTCCCATACAAAAAAGAAAAAAAATGTTTCCCGAAAGCTCATGCTCTGCTTTCATCAGGACCCCGGGGGCTGCCTGGTCTCCCAGGCTTTCCAGGAGAGAGAGGAAATCCAGGCACAGCAGGCCAACCGGGCAGAAAGGGAGAAATCGGACAGAAGGGCTGGCCTGGCTTTCCAGGGGACCCAGGAGCCCAAGGTGCCAAAGGTAGGTGCATTTACAACATAGCACAAAAATGATTTTTTTTTATTGAGTTTATTGGTACATTTAGGGATACAGTACAGTTACATTCATTGTTGGGATCATGTACCTTTACATGGCAAGTCTTGATTCTCATTTTTTTCCCCTTACCTCTGCCCTCCCTTCACCCCCTCCTCCCCTCCCCATCTACAAACACTTTATTTTCATCTTTTCATTCTCTCACATTTTTTTCTTTTCCCTTTTTGTTCTTCCCCTACGTATCACACCTTCCCTACACCTTTAGCTCCTTTCCTCCCATTTCTAAATGTCAGTAATCTTATTAGAATCTTATGCATTGTTGCAGAATATTCACACCAGGGAAACTATTTGGTATTTACATATGTGGGACTTATTTATTTCACTTAGGAGTATATCTTCAATATGTATCCATTTTCCTATGAATGAATCTATTCTCTCGCTCTTTATGGCTGAGTAATATTCCATTTTATAGAAAAACCACAACTTCTTTATCCAGTTTCCAACGGATGGGCAAATAGGTTGTTTCCAAGATTTAGCTATTACAAACTGTGCCGCTATAAACATGGGTGCACATACTTCTCTGTGATATGATTCTTTTAGTTCTCTTGGAAAGATACCCAACAGAGGGATGGCTGGGTTAAATTTTAAAGTAAAATCGTGTTTATAAATGCTGACGTTCATATTAGTTTCACAAATATGTATAATTTTCACCAAGTGTTGTTTTGTGTTGCATGTTTTGAGTCCCCTGGCTCCCACCCAACCATGCAGCAGTGTAGAAAGCACTGGTAGCTCTCATATTCTACAGAAGCCAGCGGCTTGGGGGAAGAGGTATAGGGGCTGAAGTTGGAGGATTTCTGAACTAGAATGAGACCTCATTCATGTGGGTTATGAACTGAGTTGCTGTCAAGCTTCATTTAAAGAAGTTTTCGCTATTACAAAAAAAATCAAGTTTCAGGACCACCAGTCCTGTGTGCATCCTTGTTAAATGTTAGCTTTTACCTATTACCCTTAAGGCTGAGGTGAGTAAACACTGTATTTCCAGTGTTGAGAGGAATGTTTGATAATTTTTAGAAGCAAGGTTTTGCCTGGAAAGCTCTTTGAGCAAATTCCCTCATATTTAATGCAAATGACCTATTCTGCTTAGTTGCTTGATTCTCTTATTATTTTGTGTTTTCTTAGTTTGTAAATTATTTATACAGAATCAAGGCATCAGAGTCACTTTGCTGACTTAGATAAGTGATGTTTGCTGGGTTATTCTGCCATTGTATAATTATCCCACTAAAAATTTTTTAAATGGATTAATTCCAGTGATGTGGTCATAAACTGGTTCTCTGAAGTGTTTTTTAAATGCCCTGATTTGTAGTGTTGGCCATTGTGACAGTGTAAGTAACTCCCATTCCAACATAAAAACTCTTGTCATGGCTGTGGTTTTTTTTGTTTGTTTGTTTGTTTTTTCTTGGTACTGGTGATTGAATTAGGGACCTTGCACTTGGGAGGCAGGTGGCAGAACCACTGAGCTACACCCCAATGGCTGATTTAACTACCAATTGGTAACAACTAGAGACTCAAAATTCTCGAGTCATTAATAATTAGGTTTCACCACACTGGAACTCCAGCCCCGCCCATCCCACTGCTGCAACTGGACAGTGTTTGCTAATTAGGCAGAATTATCATATTGGTTTCCTATGCTGGCAAATCTCTATGTGGAGAACTGCACTGAGATAAACGTCTGTTCTTATAATCTAAGGACAATACCAGTATGTGGGGAGGAATGGGAAAGTGGGGAGTTAAAAATATAAGATGGGAAACTCAAATTTTGCAGGACTGGCAGATTTATGGATCAGAACTTTTCAAACCCTGCCTTAACTTGCCGAACCCTCTGAGAGCTATTTGAATTCAGCAGACATTCATGGAACACTAATGCTACACTGGGAGAGAGGAGACAAGAATGTGAAAGACCAAGCCCTTCCTTCGGGCCATTGTAAAGGGGGTGAAGTGTGGGGAGAGATGTCCTGTGTGTGGGGTGTGCCTTTTTCTCTCGCATAATTAATGTCTACAGGAGCCAGAGGACTTCCTGGAGATGAAGGAGAAATGGCCATCATTTCCAAAAGAGGAGACACTGGGGAACCTGGGCCTCCTGGAGATGGGGGGTTCACAGGAGAGAGAGGTAAATGCGTAAGCTTTTTAACCTTAACACATACACTGAACTCTTTACAGGTCATTGGAGCAAGCAAGTATATTAAGCAACTATTCCATCAACGTACAGATCAGCAGAATTCATTTTTTAGATATGATTACACAGTAATGAGGAGCCATGGGGTACACTTCTTTTTTGCCTTTTCATGCTAAAATTTAGCTGAAGTTCATATGTTTTTAGAGCTCTGGGTATTCTAAACTAGAATCAACCTGAGATATACATTAAATACTGGTTCCAGGTTTAAAATATCTCTGCGTTGGGTGGCTACTATTCAAATGAAAAGCACATTGACTGTGACTTTAGCCAGTGTCCATCAAACTTTAGTGTGCATATGAATTATCTGGGATTTTGTGAAAATGCAGATTCTGAATCCTGGGGATATGGGCTTCCCAGGGATCCTGTCTTTCTAACAGGCACCCCCCTGCCATGCTGCTGGCCCTCAGAAAAATCAGATAGCTAGTATTTTGGCAACTGCATTTAAATTCTTTCCCAAATTCAGGCTTGATGTGCATGTGGCTGGCTTCTTGTCTTGCTTTTTTCTTTGACTAGTTGTTATAGAGAATGTTTTAACTTCTGGGTAAGTTTTTTCTCATTGGAAAATGAGCATGCTGGAGCGAATGCCCCCATGTGCATCCTCCTTCCTGTGCTAGTCTGTTCCTGGGGAGCTGCTTTCACAGTGAGGTCCCTGGAACCAGAGACTTTCAAGATGTGGCTTGGGGCAGGAACCAGGATTCCCAATTCCTTTGGCTCTATCTTTTAAAAGCGTTAAGACCTTCACTGTCACTAATGCCTAGCCCAAGGTTCCAGCCAAGTGGTTTATAATACTTCTGCCCTCATCAGGTGACAAAGGAATTCCCGGGATACAAGGGAGAAGAGGCGAGCCAGGGAGATATGGACCACCTGGATTTCAGAGAGGGGAGCCTGGCAGAAATGGGCAGCGTGGGCTTCCGGGACCCCCTGGCCCTCCAGGTTCACCAGGGCTAAGAGGCATCATGGGTTTTCCAGGATTCCCGGGTGACCAGGTAAGGAAGGGGCTACTGCTAATAAAATCTTCCTGCAAAGAGTCATCATTTGCCAGCGTGGATCAGAGCCCTTCCCTGGCTCTTGGAAGATAAGGGGTAGCACAGGGAAGATGCCCTTCTGGAGGGCCAGGATATAACCAGTGCTCTAACATACACAAGCAAGACACATAACTCACATGATCCAGCCCAGTTTGAAGCACTCCACAGACTCATTACATGACTGCTGGTTTACTAGAATAAAAGGTTACCCTGAAATCCCACCCAAACTCTGGTTTCTCAACCTCCTGTCTGATTGAAGATATTGTAGGCTTTGCTTTAAATACAGTTGCTCTTCATAATCACAAATAGCATACCCTTGAGAAGCCACACAGTATAATAAATATAGTAGCCTGCTCCCTACTTCTGGAAATGGAGTTCACTATCCATCTTTCAGAAAAACTGCCAGGCATGGTGGAATATACCTCTGTGCCCAGCAGCCAGGAAGCTGAGGCATCCATGAGGTTAAGGCTAGCTTAGGCTATGTAGTGAGCTTCAGGCTAGCATGAAATACATAGTGAGACCCAGCCTCACCGCCCCCCAGGTTTATAGTATAACATGACTTTTAATAATATTTTATTGAACATTAACTCTTCATTTAAAACTTAAAATTGAATTTCTGTAGTACAACTACTGTTTGGACACTATATTTTCAGAATGAAATGCTACTGTTAATATTAATGTCTATAATTCTTCAAGAATTTTATCAATTTTAAAAAACTAGACACATGTAAGCTGGATGTTGTGGCACATGCCTGTAATCCCTGCACTAGCCAGTTGGGGCAGGAAGACAGTGGTTCTGTGGCCAGCCTGGGCTGCACGGTGAGACCTTTCTCAAAAGCAAACAAACTACACATGTGCGGTCGAGTACCTGCCTTGCGTGTCTAGTTGTTTTTTTTCTTTAACTATTCATTGGTTAAAAACAAATACTATTAAAAAAATCCAAATTGGTTGCAGAAAATTATAATTGGATCAGGTCATGTATGTGTCATCTGTACTAGAAACACAATTAAGGTCTTGCTTTTGTTTCATTAAATTGTCAGGGTGAGCCAGGTTCTCCAGGCCCCCCTGGATTTTCCGGAACTGGTGGAACAAAGGGACTTAAAGGTATGGTTTACAAAAAACAGCGGAAATCCATCAAACTCATACTCCTGAGTGTTTGTAACATCTTGAGGGAGCATCTTTTGCGTGATTAACACTCAAGAGGCTCTTGTTAGATTCTGCTACACAAGACTTGAGGCACAAAGGGCTCTCCTTTGTCAGATCCAAAGGTGCTAGGTAGAGAGCAGCACACCTGCAGCCCGATAAGATCTCCCTCCTAGTGGGAATCCCAGCTGCCATGCTAGTAGTGATCACAGCCCTGCTAGTGACAACTCAGTTGCAAGGGGTCTGGATCCACATCTGTAGGCAGTGTTCGCCTTGCCTTACAAGCGCCATGTCTTGCTTGAGCCTGTCTCTCTTTTGAGGACTTTGTAAATTCAGTCATCAGGTGTCAGTTACTAGACAAATAGGCCAAAGCCATGAGCTTCCAATTGATGTTATGAGTCTACTTAGAAATTCCCAAGCCAGCCGTAATTTATAATTGAATTATTTTTATCTTCAGCTAAGGGACAACAGTCCCCCACAAGAACTAGATCATAAAAATTTCACCTTTGTGGGACATATGGTCTCAGTTACCACTATTCCACTGTGCTGCTGTGGCATGAAAACAGCCATAGACAGTGTGTAAACACAGGGGAATGCCTATGTCTCAATAAAGCTTTATTTACAAAATAAGCTGCAGGCTGGATTTGGCTCCACAGGCCCTCGTTTGACCTTGTGCCAGAAACAATGTTGTCTTGTAAACACAACTGACATTCTACCTTTGTCAAACTAAAATAGAAAGTTAACTCAAGGTAAAAAATAAAAAGAGTGCTTTTGTTAACCCTTTAACTAGACAAACCAAATAGGTAAAAACCGAATATCTTAAAATTATTCAACTTTTAAACCTTAACTTCAAAGTCACTATCTGTGAATACACAAATCTGACGCACGAACATTATTTTCACACAAGTTAAAATAAATAACTTTAAAATATAAGTTAATAAACCACCTAAAATCCTCTTGCCACTAGTGGTACATGGTTTTTGAGAGACACTATAAATAATGACAGTTTCCATTTAAAAAAAACAATCTTAAGAAATGGATATGCTTATCTATTCAGCGGGAATAGTCTAGATCACTTTTTCAGAAGTGATTTATAAAGAGGGAGTTTTTTCCTATTTGATTTTGATATTTTAGAGCTTCAGCATTAAAACTCACTCCTTGTCTGCCTTATGAGTTCCTGACAGTTCCTTTGCCTCTTTCACTCTTCAAAGACACCTGCTGTCCTTTCCATCATACTTGTATTGGGCCATCTTTGCAAGGGGTTTAAATTCACTCAAGGTACTTGGATTAAAAGAGATCCCAGAGAGTCTACAGACAGGAGACCAAGCCCTGCCAGGGTGTAAGGCCAAGGGAACCTAAGCCTTAGGTAACTTGTGTTTTCTTACTTTTCTACACCATTTTTTACTTACCTGTCTACCAACTGGCTGTATCAATAATCTCCACTTAGTATTTTTTTCTGGGTGTGCCTGAATCACATTCCAACGTGTTTGACATAGGAGCAAGTCATGATAATCCTTATGGTTTTGGTACCAATAGTCAAGGATCTCAAATTATTTTTTAAATTCCAACTTCTGGAAGAAAGACTGCCTGACATAGGGTGGACAGATTTCCACCCCTCAAACAGTGATGCACAAATAAGAGTAGATTCAAGTGGAGTGCTGACTTCCTTAAGAAATGAGTGTCAGTGGCAGGTTATAAAATGCACTAACTTCCTGGATTCCATTATAGCCCCATCCATTGTCTTGCCCTTCCCTCCCTGTCCACTTTGAGTCCTTCACTTACCACTGGCTACCATCTTCGGAGCTATGAACACATATAGCATTGTTGAAAAGCTCTGTGGGACTTCAGGTATCTGCCGCAGCCTTTGAATGCGTGTCTCTTGTTAAATCTTCAAAAACATATGGCTTTGTGATATTTTTCATAAGGATACTGTCGACCTTTCTTATAAGAGCTTGAAATGGGCTGCAGGAGCTGAAACAGTCACAATTTCTACCTGTTTCAGAGTCACTCTATGCTAAGTACTTCCTTTAAAAGAAAACTAAATTAAAACTACAACAACAAAAAAACTAAATTTGAAAAAATAACTTTAGGGACTTAGAAACTCAAACATCAATATCTATAATTTCTTATGATTGTTATGAGCTATGAAATTATGGAGTGTGTGAGTGTGTGTGTGATGTTTAAATAATATCTTGCATCTATATTTTCATTTTTTGTTTAGGAAAAAAGTATTTTTTTAATAATTTGCTGGAACAGCTGAAGATAGCTTCTAAAGACAAATAGCCAAAAAAAATTATGTCACTAGATAAGGCCAAATTAAACTTCTATGAATAATGTTGCATGTATTTTTTCATTTATAGGAGACAAAGGTGACCCTGCCAGTCAGTTTGGTTTACCTGGTCCGAAGGGAGAGCCTGGTAGCCCTGGGATTCAAGGTACAGCTATGTTTTGCTTATTAAACAACAACAAAAAAAGTAGCTTACTTCAAAGAAATAAAACAATTACTTGTGTGCTTCTAGCTGGCAGTGATTGCATCAGTATTTTCTTTCCCCTTTCCCTACTAAAATACACATCAAAAGGACTATGTGCAGAGATGCCCTGGCCTTCTTGTTCCCAAAGAACAAGAGGATCCTGCTCCAAGGGTTCTCAACTTCCCTACTGTGGCTCACATGACCAGTGGCACTGACAGAAGTACTCCTCTGAGCATCCCCATATTTTGACAATCAAAAGTGAATATTGCAAGCAGGTACAATTGCTTGCAATTTTCCAGTTTTGCAAAAGTGAGAGATTTTTCAGCCCTGTTATTTAGAGTAGCTGCAGGTTTTCCATGCACCCCTTTCTGTCTCACTGAGAATACAGCACCTGAGGATGCAAGTGAAGCCCACCCTGCCATCACTGCATCTACTCTAATTTACTAAAAATTGAATCAGACCCAACATGAAACTTCACCAATGCAAAATCCCAGCCATTCAAAACAGTGATACTTCGTGTTTCACTAACAGTTGGCATGGGTTCCCTTGGAAGGAATTCTGATGTGCCAGCGAGTTCTTGCCCCCTTCCCCCTGGTTGAGGCCACTGCAAGTCTCACAGGCTGCCCCCAGCAGAAGGGACCGGTGATGCTTTGCTTGGTTCCATACTTCACAGGGAAAGGGAAGTCACTCCAGTTCAAGCCAACATGTTAAGCAGGCTCCCGTGTAGGGGAAAGGTGTCTTAGGATGTTTCGTCCTACTATTTCGTACTTGTGTTTACCTTCCAGAAAATAGTGCAAATAAAAATTTGCAAATCTCTCTCTGGTCCCTGGAGGACCATTCGTCAGTACTTAAAATATGCACGCCCTCTGACTTAGAAATTCTACTCCCAGGAATTGATCTAAAGTCAATAATTGGGCAAGTGTACAAAGGTGCGTGGGTAGAACAGATGTCCATCCACAGAAGTCTGATGGAGTCGCTTATGACCAAGAGCATTCAGCTGACAGTGGTCATACTAAAAACCAGTTTTGTATTTGCATAGATCCCTTGTCAATTAAAAGACTTCCTATTAATAATTTTGCACATTACCTTAGAGTCTCCTCTGGCATTGGCTAGGTTTAATTCCACGTAACAGAAAGAATATATAAGCAGAACTATTATGGGAAATTTTGTTTTCTTGGTTGTTTGATAAGAAACTGCTAAAATGGATGTCTAGCAGAAAAGCAAGCTGCTATGATGGCAAAAATCTGCTTACGTGGGGATGTGCATTTAGAGAATATAATATTTTAACTGAAATCTGAACTTAAATATGCAGTTAGTGAGGAAAATAGTTTTGGGGTCAGGATCAAGGGAGTTCATAATACAGTGAGAAGCCTTGGAAAGGAGAAAGCAGTGGCTGATAATCAACCTGCACCATTACTGTGCATGTGGTCTTGGGCAAGGTGATCATCTTCTCTGTGCTTGATTTGTCTCGTCTGCAAACTGGCCCTGTGCATAGGAAAGAATCGATAGGAACAAATACAGTACCTTGAGATAAACTAAAAATTAGTACACAAATGTATAGTGCAGTCATCATCATGGTGAAGTCAGAAGAACATCAGGAGATTTTTTTTCCCACACTTGGTGGTATTTTTATCGTAAACCTTGAAGATACAAAATTTACAAGTTCTACATAGTCCAAACTGAGGGCCTTTAATGTCAACTAGTATTTTAAGTTAAAAACCATAAATATAATTTTTTTCCACACATAGGCTAACATTTATAGAACACTTGCCTTGGCCTCATTGCCTGGTCTGCAGTTTATCACAGACTGAAATTGTTTCCTTTCTTATGTACCATGTGTTCAGCTTACAACTTCTCAATTATGTGCTATTCAGCAATGCAGAGTTTATGTAAATATGCTCTTTCCGTGAACTTGGAAAAGCTGCACTGACCTTGAATGAGGCTGACGAGGAAGTGTAGACTTGTGACTCATCCCAGGACTGTGGGGTCAGTCTTCCCCCTCTTGACCTCTTCAATTCAGAGAGGAAAGACACCACAGACTATCTCAGGAATCCTGCTGTAGCAGAGCCACGCATTTGGGAGGTTTGGGAGACGAGTCTTTGAATGCTTGTGATTTCATTTGGAGCCGATAATGATGGTGCTGTCTTTTTACTGCCAGAAGGTTCCTGGGATAAATAAGACAGCAAAGTCAGGCTAATAGATGTTAAATTTGATCGGGGAGTAGGTCAGGAATAGGTTTGTGCCATGGGTCATGGTAAATAATGACTACACCCTCCATGGGGTTGTAAACACAGAGCCATGTATTTTATTTGCAGATGTAGCCACTGATTTTCAGCAAAGTCTATTGCTTTATCCTATAAAGACATTTTATCCTTATGAAATTAGCAAGAAAACAAGTCAGTAAATGAAAAGTCCACAGAGCACACACTCGGAGTCATGGGCATGGAGTTGTGCAAGGGTGGTGTGAGGGGAGAGTGAGTGGTACCAACTCACTCCAATCCACAGGCAGCCCAAGCCAAGAACTGAAAGTTGAGCAGGGCTTGCTGGCACAGGTGTGTAACCCTGGCTCTCCGAGAGGCTGAGGCTGAGGATCTCGAGTTCCAATCCATTGTGGGCCACTGAACAACTCAGCAAGATCCTGTCTCAAAATTAAAAATTGAAAAAGGGCTGGAGATGTAGCACAGGTCAAAGGGCCTGGGGTTTAATCCCAAGCACCACAAAAACAAACCAAAATGCTAAACTTTTTACTCTAGGACACTAGAGAAGAGCGGTACTGTTAGGCCCTTCAAAGTGCTACTGTCATGAGAAAGGGACTATTCCAAATTTTTAAAAATCTCAGACACGTAGCCACACAATGTGATCTGACATTCTGGCATGAACTTGGTGTGGACAAACCAACTATGAAGAGCATCATGGGGACAATGGGAGACCACTCAGTGTAGAACAAGCATAACATAGCATTAGGGATTGTTAATTTTTCTTAGCTGCAATGTTATCCTGACTACATAGAAAATGTTTGTATTTTTCAGGCTCACCTCCTAAAGTATTTAAGAATGGCATTCAATAATGGCTGCGACTTACTTTAAAATATTGCAGCATTCAAAAATGTATTTTAAAAGAATCCAGATATCACATTATTTACTTAAAATTTTTACTCCTAGAAAATTTTTTCTAAAAAAATAAGTTAGTAGATGAAAAATATTGATTAAAAATATATAAAGATCAGCCAGGTATAGTGGTGCACTCCTGTGGTCCCAACACTCAGGAGGCTGAGGCAGGAGGATCACTATGGGTTTGAGACAAGCCTGGGCTACATAGTGAGCTCAAGGCCAGTCTGAATTGCATAGCAAGACCCTGTCTCAAAAACAAAAAACACAAGCAAAAACTGCATATATGTATGTGTGTATGTGTGTGTGTGTGTGTGTATAATGTATATATAATTTTCATGATGCCAAAGAGAAATAACTCGAATGACCAATACTAGTAGATTAAGTAATTTAATTAAAATTGAATCAGTAAGTTATCATTTGAAAATGACAATTAGGAAAACTAAGACATTTAGAAAATTACTTACGTTACAGCACTAATTTAAATGTTCAAAATATAAAATCATGGGTATATTTTGCACATGTGTGTATGCAGGAAAATTGTGTTACAGTGGCAAGACTGTGGACTTATCATTTCCAGTTTTGCTCTGATGTTATCTTCCTTTTTAGTGGCAAAGATGTCAAGAATAACAAAGGCTGCAGTTGACTGTTTCACAGATTTACTGTCCCAAATGGCACTACTCAGATTTTGACTTTGGCTTCTTCAGGACATTTGGGAGCCCCTGGAGAGCAAGGCTCACCTGGAGTTCAAGGGCTGAGAGGACCACAGGGAACACCAGGACCGCCTGGCTCCTTGGGGCCATCAGGGAGTCCAGGTATCTTAAAACCAACCTTGAAAACTTTGGGAGCGCTCATGGATTTCTGGCTGTGTCACAAAGAGCCAGTCTCCTCCTGGACCTAGGTTCAGACAGGGCTCTTCCATTTCCAGATCTGTGCCTTTGGTCAGATCACGTAAGTTTCCCTCTTCTTCACTGTAAAGCCAGTCCTGTCCCACAGGGTGACACTAATTACTGAGCAGAACCACGGCCATGCCTGGAAAGTGCCTACACAACACCTGGCACAGAGGTGGTGTGATGCTAAGATTGCCCTACCCTCCTCTTGCTTTAGACCCAAGGCAAATGTCACATTTACAAGCTAATGTTTTAATGATCCCCCATTTAACACCGTCATTGGCAACTTTAGCTGGAGATGTACCTTGGTGTTAGAGTGCTTGCCTAGCGTGAGCAAGGCCCTAGGTTCAAATCCCAGGGCTACAAAACATATCATTGGCAATTTTAATCATTTGGGGCCATATTTTCCCTTCTGAACTTAAGTGTACTTTTCTCCTTAGAGTTAAGAAATTGAAGAAGAAACTATGGTAAAATGATATTCCCGTTTACCCATGTATTAAGAACATAGATGGCTTTTTCAGCAGCTGTTAGCTCATGCATCCATCGGGTGTCTGCAGAAGTTCCCTGCTGTCCACAGGTGATCAGGGGAGGCCTGGGCCGAAGGGCTTTCCAGGAGAAATGGGGGATCCTGGACTTCAAGGACTCCCTGGGCATCCAGGGATGCCAGGTCCTCCAGGAATAAAAGGTAAGCTCAAGGCTGTGTGGGTGTTCAGATCCAGCCCCATGAATAGCCCTACTGGTAGCCCATTTCCTGAGCCCCTGAGTGACTCTGCTGTTGGCCATGCCCGTGTCTCAAGGACCAAGGAACATCTCCCTGGTCCCCCTTAGCCCAGGGCCTGAGGCAGGGCTGCTGTGACCAGGCCCTCCCAGGGAAGGTCCAGAAGGTAGTGTTTCCATGTCATCCCGGAGATACTTTCGTGATATTCAGGTCTATTTTCTTCTTATAAATAGAGAAGCTCTTATTGCATCCTACATTCTGGGTGCAGAATCTGAAGCAAATAGACAAGATTTCTACCTTCATGAGGCTCACTGGCTGATAGATCAAAACAGACGTGTAATAAATATATATTCAACAATCAGGATAAGTGGTAAGAAGAGAAAAGAATAAAGTGTTAGAGAAGCTGAGTAATTAGTATTCATTATCATTTTTAGATAAACATTTTTTCCTGGTTGAATTTTGGGCCTTTGGTTATGCGTCTGGATATAAGATAAGATAATATCATATGATATAATATAATGTAGTATAATAATATACTTATTATTAAGAAATTATCATGCTCTCCCCCTCATCCATGATATTTTTCCTTTTTTTTTTTGAGACAGGGTCTCACTATGTAGTTGAGACTGACCTGGAACTCACTATGTAGCCCAGGCTGGTCTCGAACTCACAGCCATCCTCCTGCCTCAGCCTCTTGAGTGCTGGGATTACAGGCGTGCACCACCACGCCCGGCAATAATTCTCCCATTTTAGAAAAAGTACTTTCCCAGTGGGTAGTTTGTGCCCCTAGCATAGCACCTATGTTGTATCAGTTTTGTTTGCCTAGAGAACTTTCTTACAAAATAGAGTATGATTTTTAAAAGGCAAAAGGAGCGCCCTAGAACTCAGTAGACACCCAGTAAATATCTTAGTTGGCTGTAAGTCTCACTATAGTTGAGACTGACCTGGAACTCACTATGTAGCCCAGGCTGGTCTCGAACTCACAGCCATCCTCCTGCCTCAGCCTCTTGAGTGCTGGGATTACAGGCGTGCACCACCACGCCCGGCAATAATTCTCCCATTTTAGAAAAAGTACTTTCCCAGTGGGTAGTTTGTGCCCCTAGCATAGCACCTATGTTGTATCAGTTTTGTTTGCCTAGAGAACTTTCTTACAAAATAGAGTATGATTTTTAAAAGGCAAAAGGAGCGCCCTAGAACTCAGTAGACACCCAGTAAATATCTTAGTTGGCTGTACGAGTAAACAAACGGACAGACAGATGAATACACGGTCAAAAGTGCAAGCTTCCTTCCCTGTAACCAAGCCCTCGTCATGTCTTTCTCCCTTCTCTTCTATCTGCCTTCTATTCATAGGTTTATGTAGATACTAAGTGTTGGTAAAACAAAACTCAGAAGCGTTGGAAACCATTTCTGAGATTAATCATTTTATTGGTTCAAAACCCCAAATTCCATTTTTCTACCCATTCCCCTTCTTCAGTCATGAGATAGCTTTCAAATAATTCCAGGTTTTCAGCGTGTGGTGGTGCGGTGTACATTCTTTGGTCTAGTGCTCTGCAGAGGGAATCAGTACACAAGACGAGATAGCTTGGTACTGTTTTCTATGTTCACTGACATTTTTAAGAATGGGAAGTCCAGAGATTTGAGATGAATATATGGTTTCAAACAGAAAAGGGTGTTCTGTTGTTTTTAAAAGTTTCCTTAGTGATTTCAGCCATTTCTTGTCTCTGGCAGTCCCTAAATCCAAGGGAGGGTGGAGAGGAGGGGAGAAGGGGAGAGGGAGAAAGAAAATCTGGAAAAAGTTGGGAAACAACCAGAAAAAAACATTTTCCATTATTATCTGCTCCTATTGCATTACCACCTCTTTCTCCCCTCCCAGTTTAGTAAAACAGCCAAGGATTTTCTACCATGGTTAATTCTTCTTTCCCTTAAATTACTTTACATTTATCTCATAACTCCACAGTTGCATTATTTAAAAAAAATAACCTAATAGCTAAAGACTTTGATCCATAACAAAATTACTCATCAAGTAATCTGTAACCACATCACAATTCTGCACAGTGAAACATGAGTTTGTGAGGAAGAGAACACAGTTCCCACCTTTGTGCCCTGTACAGCAGTCTCCAGTAGTGACACTGTTACACTGCAAACAGAGACAGATCGCGCTTAACAAAATGAAACAGTGAGATGCATTCCTCAGAATTAAAGCATCCACAGTATAAATACATCGCTGCAGCATATCATGCTGATGTAAAAAAAAAACAAAACCAGCCACACTCCAGCAGAAACACTTTGAACTGACAAAGAAAACATTTGAAATATGTTCTAAATAAGTCAAAGAGACTGGTGATCTTGTTTGAACAAACCAGCTGCTGGCTGTAAAGCCAAACAGGCCGTATGGATTTCAAGTCCTGCTTGTGTTCAGTTAGATTTAAACGTTAACCATAACATATGCTAAAAGTGGCTCCATTCCTAGATTTAAATTTTTATGTACATATGCCCTGTAAAAGGAAACAGCCAGTTCCTAGTTGGGCCTGAATGTAAGGCTGGAAGTACAGAACCCTAAAGAAAAGTATCTATAGCAGGACAACACCATAAAGAATGTGGACTGAGTATTTTTCCTAGTGGCAAGGAAAACATTTCCCTTTAGAAATGCTCTTTGAAATGTCTCCTTTCGGCAGAGATAAGCCATGCACCTTAGAGCTAGGAAAATCTTAGTGATTTCTTCCTTTTCACAAGATGCCACATCCCCACTGCATTCTCCCTGCTCCTGGCAGTTTTTGCTCTTTACTGGCAGGGTTATTTCTTTCTTGCTTCCTATTGTCTCATCAGTGCCTGTCACAAGATGCCTTTGGGGGTTGAAGCTTTTTGCATTAGAAAACCATATTTTATGCCATTGATAGGCACTTATGTATTGGCTGGATTACAAAACAAAAACAACTGAATCTTATTTCAAAACCAGTTTTTGATGAGTCTTCAAGCTTTTCCTTAGTTATGTATGGAGGTTTCACTTTCCCTTCAGCTTTAAAATTAGGTGGCTCTCTGTCCCATCTTACTCAGACCAGAAGAGATAACTTCGCCTGCAGAACGTCCACTGCTCAAACTAGGAAAGTCCCAAGCAAACAGGGATGCATTGAACACCCTATTAGAAGTGTAAACCTGAATAAGGTTCGTGGGGTATGGAATTTTCAGGCTCTAGAAGAAAAATAAGAGCTGAGTGTGAATTTAGTCACACAGAATGGGCTGGCTAGCACAGGGGGAGGCACAGTTACGCTGGAATGGAGACGCGACCCAGTGGCTAGAGGAACAGCACCGGGCTGTGCCTGCAGCCTGGTTGTTATGTGATGGTTATTAAACAGGAGAACATTAGAGAGGTGAATAAAAATCCCTCATTAGCCAGGAACCTGCTTTGTTAGCCTAATTGCCTCTCATCTGTAGTGTATATATTTCACGCATGAACAATTTTCTGATTTAGAGATGGGAGTGATAAAAAGCTTTCAGTCAAAAGGAAAAATTACCCTTTAAAACCTACCCAGATGTAGCTGCATTCAACTTAGAAAGATGACATTGGGTCAGATAAGGGTTGGCCAGTTCAACAATGGCAAGGGGCTGGGCTGTGACATCCCAAGATCTGAATGTATCAGTGTGACAATGGAGAGTTGGCAGAGGCTGGGACACTGTACCCTTAGCCAAGGCACCCAAGCCATCAATCTTGGTGGCTGAAGCTAGAGATCAAAACAAATGGAAATAGTGAAGTGGCCTCAAAAATTTATCATCATTTCAAATAGATGGCAATAAATATCCAGGTTTGGCAGATGAAGAGGGCCTTTGTGTTCTTTTGGTACAAACTTGAAATGTTGGCTAATCAAATAGGAAAGAGGATTGGAAAACAAACTGAGCCAGCACTGTTACAAGTGGTTAGGAAATAAGAGATTTAGGGAAAATAAGGATGCAGTCCCTTTTTTTTTCCCAGTGCAAGAGAATAGGGTTCATTTGAATCAGTCTAAGGTTGGGAATCTCAAAAAGGGAATAGCAACTATTTCAGCTGCTGATAATATATAGAATAGAACCAACTGTGCCATTCCCCAATACTTATTTTTCATGAGCAGATAATAATTAGCACTGAAATTATTTATATCCAAATGGATTCTTCTAAATTCTCTGAATCATATGTTTATAAATCTATCAAAGGCATGGCATATACGTAGAAATTGTAGTCCACCTTTTAACACAGATTCTTCTCTACCTGCTCAGTCCCTCACCTTCCTCATCCCACATTTTCTCATTCACTTGCTCATTCAACAAACATTCATTGAACACCTACTACCTGTCTCAGCAAACGTGCCAAGTGTGGCGTTAGAAAGACTGAAAAGGGACCTGCTCTTGCACTGTGATTTATCGTGGCCCTGGGGAGACAGCTGACCAAAGATGTGTCACACGGTGTGGCCCAGGCAGAGCTGACAAGGGGACCGAGGTAGGTATCCCAGGCGGAGGTGAAGGGTGCTTCCTCATGGTCACACAAGCTGAAGATATCACTGTCCTTAATGTAAGAGATTTGACATTAAACTAGTAAAAGGCTGTATGTGTGGGGAGGAGCTCCGAGGCTTGAGTGAGAAAGAACAGCTCCTGGATAGAAGATGTACCATAGAAATAGGAAGTTTATCAGTCATGGCTTGGGGGGAGACCATGTTCCTTTCCATGAGTCACTCAATGGGACAAGGTATGCAGTAGCACTTGCAGCTGGGCTCAGCCCTCAGGAGATGCTGTGTAATATTTGTCATCCCCTTTGCCCATCTTCTTTCCCTTGCTCCCTTCCCTTCCCTTCTCTCCCTCCCTCCTCCATCTCTATGCTGCACAGTTAGGCAACTCTCATTTGAAAGCATGCTCCTTCAGGAAAAGTTAAACACAACTCAAGTCTACTGCTGGAAAACCTTTAGGGAAATTTCCCACCAGAAGGGCTCAGTGACACCTTCAGCAAAGCTGACACAAGGCTCGCAGAGAAGGCACAGGCATCAGTAGGATAATGGCTAATTACAGAGCCTGGAGTCTTCAATAGTTATCACGAAATACATTTGCTTGCCTTAAAAAGACATAAGAATGATTCTGAAAGAACTACCGCAGGGAAATACCAGCAGCTCAACTTGACCTACAAGTCTGTTGTTCCAGAGCGGCCCAGTGCTTAAAATCCATGTGGGAGCACACAGCAGGCAGCATGCCAGGGTCAGCTGTCCTCATCTCATACTCCATTAACATGAATAAATCCAGAGGGAACAAGGACCTGCAGACCCAAGTAGCAAGGGAAGATCCAAGGCTGGAAGGTAGAAGGCAGGAATTTGCCTCTAACCTCTTCCCTTGTCTAGAATGATCTCTTGTCTTCAAAATAAAGGTCACTTCCTACACCAAGATTCAGTAGTTCTAGACTGTATTTGGTCATAATATGGTTATAACCCAACAGGAGTACTTTAAACAATTGAGCTGCTTGGTAGAAAATCTTCATAAGATGAGTGTATTAAACAATCATTTGCCTGATTCTCGCCCTGAGAAAGAGCCCCAGATGGTGAGATGTGCCACCGGCCCAGCCTCCCGCTGTGCTGTACCCTCCACTGGGGGGTGCCTATGACTATGGCCAGAGTGGGTACCAGTGGCTGGTCTTGCCTTTGGGACACAGACCTGTGGTGTGTTTCAGGTCTTGCTGGGTTACCTGGCCTGCATGGCTTGCATGGTTTGAAGGGAGAGAAAGGAACCAAAGGTGCCTCAGGTAAGATGAAATCCATTCCCAAGAGACCAAGCTTTGGTCAGTGGACCATAATATGAAACAGGGTCTTCCACTGGGATCCTTCACTTCATGAGATGTGAGAATGAAACCAGAAAGCTAGCTTAGGCTGGAGTCACAGTACTAGAACTATTTCTAATGCAGCTGATGACTTAGGTGAAGGGTGTTTAAGAAAACCCTAAGAAGGAACCATTGGTTTACAATACCTTTTGTTGTTATTACTTGGGACTGTCTACCAAAAATACTCTGAATAATTGCTTAAATGGGCCCACATTTCAAAATGTTATGAAACATAAATAGTCTGGGTTTCAAAAACTGTTTTAAGTGTAGCAAAGGCTTGTACAACCACATGGATCTCTAAATAGTACCTTTAGCATCCCGCTACTACCAATGCTAAGACAAATTATCTGAAATATGTGCTGTTTTTTTGTTATCACAGAGAGGTTAATATTCAACAACTGTAGTTTAGCTTGTTCTAGTAATATAATATACATTTGTTATGTGATTTTCTCATAAAAAAGTAATAAAACCAGACAGAGTAGCTAGAACTCAACATGTTCATTTGAGTAACTGTGGGGAAAAGGTGGAAATCATGCAGCAAGATGGGAATCTGTGGTGGAGAAGGATGAAACCTTTGTATAGTTTGGAAGATCAAAAAGTAACTCAGTTCATGTAGGATTTATTTAGTGGATCTTCCAAACTGTCTGATTAAATGTTTACCCCTTCCAAGAAACTAGGGATGTTTTGCTTTCCCGATGGGAAACCACACTATGGTAGTTCTCATTCTATGCCACTGCCCACTCAAATTACAAAGCAGTTTGTTCAGAACTATTTATTATTCTATCTCGTTTGTCCTTGCTTCCTCCGTTGTAAAGTTCATAAGTTTGGTGTTACGAATGAAGTGATTATATTTTTAAATCTGAGAAATTATCAGAAGAGAAAACAAACCCATAGTTGACTGGTGTGATGGGTTGTAAGAGCGAAATGGGAACCCAGGAATTGTATGCAGCCACCTGGACCACTATTCTGGCAGAGGTTGGCCTCTGTGGAACCAGCCACTTTTCAAGCATGATAAGAGGGCAAAAGTGAAAGAAGGTATAACACTGATGCTATTTTTCCCATTAAGGTTTGCATGAAATGGGCCCACCAGGTCCAGTGGGGATACCTGGTCTAAAAGGAGAGATAGGGGACCCTGGGAGTCCAGGAATTTCTCCCCCGGGCCTTTTTGGAGAGAAAGGCTTCCCAGGCCCCCCAGGTAAGAAGCAACATGCTTTGTTCCTCTCAATTCAAAAACCTTCCAAATGTAGTGTGGCTAATGTGTGAACATATACTTTTGCAGGGAGACCAGGACTCCCAGGTCCTGCAGGTACCCCAGGAAAAGCTCCTAAGGGTGACGTTCCTGACCCCGGTCCACCTGGAGATCAGGGACCTCCTGGCCCTGATGGCCCAAGAGGTATGAAAACATTATGGCAAAGGGTGACAATGCTCCCTTAGGTGCTGCCAGTTCAGTAAGGTTCTAAGACCAGAGAAAGGCAGAGCAGAAAGCCCCAACCAGCCTCGTTGGTTTGGCAGAGATGAGTTAGAGCCAGCTGGGTGGAAGGGTTCTCAGGACCATATCCAGGCCCAGAAATGTGGCCCCTCCCTCTTGCACATCAATTCTCAGACCACCCAGGCTGAGACTACAAAATCTGATACAAAACAGCATTTCCCACCAGCCCCTTGATGCTACCATGACACTTCAGAAGTGCCTGATAGGCGGGCACCACGCCTCCTTGTTGGTTTCTAGCATCTGTCTTCTTACCCAGAGCAACAGGATGGAGGACTCTTATACACCCAGAAGCAGTCGCCTTGTGGGCTGCTGAGAGTGCCCGTTTTTCCTCTCACTGTTTCACTAAGAGGCAAGATGTTGGAATCTCTTATAATCTAAGGAAGTTGGAGTAGAGTAGAGTTGGTTGGGAATCAAGAGAAGAGTGTGGCTCATTGCCATGACACCCTCGGTTCAGACAGTACATTCAAACTGGCTGACACACACACCCACCACCTTGGAATCTTTTGGGCGTGGTTGTACACTGAGCAATAGAAAAGCAATAAAAAATATTCTAAGAACTATAAAGCTCAGTGAGAATAGAATCAGGGTTGACTCATTCCTCATGTTTCCAAATATGACTATAAATTTGTTGAGTGAAAATTCCTTTCCTACTGACCGATGTTCATCCCTTCACCCACCCATTCATCATCCTGTTAAAGCAGTGAGATGGTAATGAACACAAAGCCATAAAATGACACTTTCAGAAAGCATGGCTCTGAAGGAAGAAGGCTTTGCTTAGGTTTGTGTGCTGAACAGTACTAATCCATTGTCTGTATCATTTCTCAGCCTGGGCTTCATGGGACATCCTCTCTGTTTCACTACCAAGTTTCTTATTCTTCCAAATCTCTACATCGCCTGTTTGCAGGTCACTAAATTACTTTTCTTAAGCTCTCAGGCAGCCAGCATATACATTTGTTGCTGAGTAAAAGAATATTTTTGCCTCCTCCCTTGGTTAGGAGCTCTTGGGCCTCCGGGACCCCGTGGGAGTGTTGACCTTCTGAAAGGGGAGCCAGGTGACTGTGGGCTGCCGGGGCCACCAGGTCCCCCTGGCCCTCCAGGACCTCCCGGATGCCAGGGTGTCCCAGGATGTGATGGAAAAGATGGCCAAAAAGGTATGAATGCAGGTTATTCCTTAATCCGTACGTGAAGACTTTCTTTATTTCGCACCCAAGGATCTGGGGTAATGTCCTTCCATGTCATCATTCCTATTTCTCATGGAAACAGTCACTACATTGCCAGAGGGTCTCCAAGTTTGGGTATCAACTGGAAAAGTAAAAGTAAGAAACACAAGTTTCTCTTCAGCTCCTAATAATACTTTTGATAATCTCTGGGCCAGAGCTGGCAACAGAAATACAAGGTGTATTCTAAAAGTAAGGTGAATGTCTCCACTTTAAAAATTTATTACAGTAAAATATACATTACTATTAATCCTCTTTGCTTCAAACACACATCCCATCATTTTTTCCACTTTCTGAAGCAGTTCTGGAAGCCCTCTTTCCTGAGTGTCTTTAGCTGCTCTGTGATAACTGCCTGCCTACCTGAATTGATTCCAAATGTTTACCTTTATAGTCATTTTGACTTTGGGGAAGAGGCAGACGTTACACGGTGCCAGGTCTTGTGAAGAAGGTGGAACAGGACACCTTGTAATGCTTTTATTTGATAGAAATTGCTGCAAACTGCTTGAACCAGTTCAGAACATTGAGGCAGCTATGACAGCCCAACTAAAAATACGAGAGAGAACTTCTAGAGCAGCTTCAGAAAGTGGCGAGAAGGTGGGATAAGTGTGCTCGACATGCGGGAGAGAATTTTGAGGGGGGTTAACAGCAATGTGTCATTTACTGTAGTACATTTTTTAAAAAATTAAATATTCACTGTATTTTGTGATCACCCCTTGTATAAGTCACGCGCATAATTCAAAACTGTAATAGTCACATTTTAAAAGTAAACAGGTGAAGGTAACTTTCATATATTATCTAACATATTGAAGCATTATTTTAACATAGAGTCAGCATAAAATCATCATCGAGAAATGCAGCTGATCACGAACGCCTAGTTCCTCTCCCAGTTTGCCACTCTTCTTGCCTGTGAAGCCCAGTATGTTTTACACTGTATTACAACCCACTTCGGACTGGCCATATTTCAAATGCTTAGTAACCTTATGCGGTTAGCAGCTTGTGTATCAGAATTGCAGAGAATTATCTGGCTCATGGAATGTTTTTGTTGAAAAGGGGCCAAGGCTGATTATCCACTTTAACTTCCTTATTTCATAAATAAGGAAGCTGCATATCAAAGAAGTGACTGTTAATGCTTGCTCAAGGATGCCAATAAGTAGTATCCTGCCTGGGTTCTGACTTGTGAACCATCATAAGAGATTAGGGCAGAAAAGAGGTTAAAAATTGCCAAGAGGCTGCCATGCCTACTGTGCCCGATGGCACCTGTGGAGCTGAACAGTGAGTATCTCTACAGCACTACATGGCAGCCTTCTTCATCTGTATGGGCAATAACGTCGGCTTTAGACAAGGTGGCTTAGATATGCAGATATGTGAGCTTCCAGTTATTGAACCTCAGAAGTAGACAGACAGTCGTGCAGAGGACAGAGGAAGGGATTGGCAGACCTCTCCTTCCCTGGTTGTCACTGCAGAAAATGAATCTCCACCTGGACTGGGGGAACAGCAGGTCAGAACAATACAATGGTGTCTTACCCAAGGACCCACAGGAGTTAGAAACCATGGGGACCCACTGATCAAGCTTCTTCATTTTCATTCCTGGGGAAGTCAGGGTCAGACAGGAGCTGTGCTGTAAGCCGGGTGATGTACACAGTGGGAAATACTCCATCCATCTCGCCAGTACATCTCAGGTGCCTACAGGAATGCACTGGGGAGCAAATGCGGACGGGGTCATTACTCTGTTTCAAGGCTGAGTCTTCCCAAGGCAGACAGACATTCAGGCCAAGAGCAACATCGCCATCAAGGGAGCTCGATGATCTGAAGGAGGCGGCCAGAGAGAGCCGCGGGCCTTAGGCTGGGATGCTGGGGAAGGCTCCCCCAGGAAGGTCTGGACTCTAGAGCATGAGCAGACTTAATGGGTGGACAGGGAAGAAAGAAAGCAACAACGCAGACAAAGACCCACGCTGCTGGCAGTCCTGGACCCAAGAAAGCGAGGAAGAGAGTGTTGGAGACTGCAGCAGGGAAGCACCTTCTTTCCCTGTTTCAAACCTTTTCCTTATTTCCCCCTCAACTCTGACACCTCGTCTCCAGACAAAGTCCAGGGTTCCAGGCCTTTTTGTTCTGGTTAAGTTTCATCCTGGCTATGGGCACATCCTCTTTGTCTCTTTGGCTGATTCCTGTGTTCCTTGCATCAGAGGTGGTCCTTCTCTCAGAAGTGAGGTGAGCTCAACTGGAACACGGACTCTGCCCCATCTTTTCATGGACTGAAACGCTACAAACTGGCCCTGTCTTCATGTTGCTTCATGCCGGTGCTTTTTTATTTGTATCTTTTAGGACCAGTGGGATTTCCAGGGCCTCCAGGGCCACCTGGCTTTCCTGGAGCACCTGGAGAGAAGGGTTTACCTGGACCTCCAGGAAGGAGTGGGCCCAGGGGTCCCCCAGGTAAGCTTCTAATGCATGGCCTTCCGAGCAGCCACACGTGGCACTCGTTTAAACATTTACTGTAAGTGTTTTCTTTCAGAAAATAATTATTCTGAAACTATCATCAGTACATTCTTGTGAATCAAACCCTTTCTGATATAAGAGAATATTTGTTTCAAACTGTACCATGAAGTCTCATGTTTGGTAAACTAATATTTATTTTCAGAACAAGTAAGTTTAAAAATTAAATGCTGATGTTACGTATACTATTTCTAAGGGATATGTGTGTCCCTTTATACAAGAGGCAAAACTGGACATGATTAGTATTGTGAGCATTGCCTATTCACTTCATGTCACTGAATTTTAATGGGTTTTCCTACATTTGCTATTTAACTATTTTCTGTTAAGTATATCAGTTTCTATGAAGGTAAAAGGCTCTATAATTTCACTCTATCAACAATACTATTTATTATGGAGCGAAGTCAGCTAAAGAATTGGGTAAAGAAAGGGTAAACAGATATGTGCACTTGAGGTTTGCAGAATAACTTTCAAGATCCTAAATCAAACATAAAAATGAAAAATCCTAAATCAATCATAGAAATACAGTAATAAGTCAGAATATTTTGCATTCTCTTAAATAGGCATTCTAGAGAACAAATAAAAGTGTCCTGTATAATGAACAATCATAGTACAACAGGACAGAGTGTTTGCACTTAGATTATTTTTATATTTTTCTGGACGCAACCTATAAAACTTTGGCAAATTAATACAGAATTTTTGCAAGGTTTTAAATGGGAAGAATTCATATGCACATGAATTCTGGGCAAATTTGCCATGAGAAATCTACTAGAATTTTATATTTCTCGAGAGAGTTTCACTTCAAGTCCTTGTAGAGATGAAAACTCCATTAGTGCTAAATCTTAGCGGTCCGGTCCCTGTCAGTCACATCAATGGGAGCATTTTTATGTAAATAAGAGGCTGTCATTCTGCTCATCATCGATGCTGTCCCAGATTATTATTTATGTCCTCAAACAATGGATTTCATTTTCTCTCCTAATTCACAACTTTAAAATCCCTTCCTTGCCACCATGTGAAACTCGGCACATGCTCTTGCTTTGGCTTTGGATGGCTCCAGGTCCCAGAGGTAAGCATTGCTTAGAAATTCATGGTTTCCCCTTGTTCTGCTTTCTCAACTCTTGCACTTTCTACTGGATTTGCAAATTAAACCGCACCATTTGCATAGATGGGGTGCTGTAATTATGTAAGCTTTCCATGACTTTGCTTCCTCATTACCGACAATAGCCTCACATTAGCACGTCCTAGTGCTACCCTCATTATAGGTTGTCAAGCCTCAGAGCTCAGCGTCATTTTAGTTCGGGTACCACATGCGAGTGCTTTCTCGGTCAGATGCCAGAGCACTTACATGGTATAAGTCACTTTAATGAACTCCATAATAAAATACACAGACCACCCCTAAAATAAGCAACACCATCTCCACTAAAGGATGGCCCCTTACCACCCAGGAAGGCGCTGTGACAAGCTTTTCTAGTTGTGCTTGTAAGTCCATTTTCAAGGAGATTTCTTCGTGTGTTAGAAAGAAAAAGTTTCACTTAGTACTCTGTTGCAAAAGCACCATATTATTTTGTATCTGGTATTTTCAAAGAAAATAAAAAGGATTCTTCAAAAGGGAAAAAGAAAAATTATGAATACTTGCATTTATTCTTTCCAGGCATCTGTTATTAGCCCTAATCAACATTTCCCTGAACACAAATGCCATATATTATTTTGAGGATCTCTAGAAGAAAATTTTACCCTCTGTTTTTCAGCTCTTTAAAAAGTAAAGCAACAAAATCCATTTTTTAACCCTGCAATTTTAAATGTTCACAGTTAAAAATTAAAGTTGTATATTCAATGTTTTCATTTCAATCCTGTATAATTGTGAAATTCATTTGAAGATAATATCAAAATTCTAAATCTTAAATACCAGTCATATGGGCCCCTGTCCCTACTCTGCCACCACTGGAAAAGTCCCAGTTATTAAGGCAAGACAGGATCTGTTCCCATGCATCCCTCTGAAGTCAGGCCTGGTGGAAAAGCCAAGCTTGACATTGAAGTAGACATATTATGAAACTGTATATGTCCCTGAGTTGTTTGTGGTTTCACACCACATTTTTTAAGAGTTAAATTCCAAACAGCTTATGATGTTCAAGTCCATTTTGCACAAGCATATTAAGAATTCTGTAGATTAAACTTTTTTGTGGTTATGACTACATTTTTCTAAATTTCCTTGCTGCTTTATCACTGCTGTTGTTAAAATTATTATGCACAGTTGTGTGAATTTTAAAAGAACCATAACTAATCAAATAGTATGTTTTAAAACATGTTTCATTTCTTAGAATTAATCGCACACGTATTAGGGGTTTGGGGGCTGGGGATGTGGCTTAGTGAGAAAGCAACTTATCTAGTATGTGTGAGGCCTTGGGTTTAATTCCCAGCACTGATAAAAAGCAGAGAGAAGGTGGAGGAGGGAAGGAGAAGGAGAATCACTGAAGATGTATAATGCAGTGGTTAAGAGCATGGGTTTGGAGCCGGAGCATTCTAGATTTTAATCTGGACTCTGCTCTGTGTTTGGATGTCTGCCACTATGTAGTTTTCTTACCCATAATGGTCTAATGGCAGCACACAGACACGTTGTCTTTAAGAAGGTCTTGAAGGAAAGCACTCAGCAGAGGGCCTGGTACATGAGAAATCATTCAATAAGTGTTAACTGTTATCCTTATTGCTAGTGTTATTTCCTAGCCTTTGCGGGCTGCTCACAGGCTGAGTAATGTTTTAGAAAAAAATACAAATATCTCGAAGATGAAATGTAACTGAGATTTTTAAACTGTCAGACCCTAGTGAGGTAGTTCAAAATGGGAGATTCTCAGATCAACATCGCCCACCTCAAATGTTAGAAATGCAAAGTTCAGGTCCATCACAGACCTCCTGACTTAGGAACTCTTGTTTTCTAAGGAACTGGCCAGATTGGGAAATGTTGAAGTCAGAACTGAGCCTTATAATGTGCTTCTCAGTCCTGGCTGACACGGGAGTCATGCAGGGAGTCTGAGGACGCTGCAGAAATTCCTAGCTCATGTCTGGGGCTGGGGGTCACAGCAGCAGCACTTTGGAAAAGACCCCACCTGAGTTTATCGTACAGCCACAGTTAAAGGCACCGTCCATGCCACACCCTATCATCACCCAGTTAAGCGCTGTTTCTGGAGGTGAGACTCATGCATCGTTCTGCTTCTCCACCTTCCCTGGATCTTCCAGAGTTCAGTCAAGGCTAATGGTCATTGCATCAGAGACTCCGGAAGTTCTAGTTGAGTAACTGACACTAGGGAAACTTAGACTGATATGTAGAGTAATGAATTGGGGACACTGTATGGAGATACTTAGGAACTCATCAGTCCCTCTGCTCATGGGACTGGAACCCCAGCAAAAAATGGCCCAAAGATTGGAAATCCTGTGAAGGCCATCAATTATTGTTACCTCTGGCCAAATGTCACTATTTCCTATTTCTAACACTTCGTCCCTGCATGTAATCATTCCTTTATTCAACAGAGGCTTTCTTTAAGCTGTTGCTGTACCCCTGCAGGAGCCGAGAAGTTCCTGTCCCCCAGGGGTTCACACTGTATAGCTGAGCACTCTTCTTAGCATTTCAGTGTATAGTCAGAAGCGCTTCCTTAACTGGAGGGTGCAGGCGGAGCATAGGAATCTGTCACACAAGTGCTGATTCCAATTTCAGGTGAACCTGGGCCACCTGCAGATGTGGATGCCTGTCCCCGAATCCCAGGGCTTCCTGGGGTGCCAGGCCCACGAGGACCAGAAGGAGCCATGGGGCTCCCAGGAGAGCAAGGCCCCCCAGGACCAGGTATGAACCTTATTCTGTTCATTATTTGCATCATGCATTGCTGAAATACAGGAAAATTTCCTTCCTCTTTTACCCCCTGCTTTTTTTAAAAAAAAAAACAAAACAACAGAGATCCAAATGTTTTAATCACATGCTGACTAGAACTACAGATCCCTTCTATCGCTGTGTTGAACTTCTTCATGTATCTTTTAGATTTGGCCAGCTTCTGGGTGTGGACTTATGAAACCCTTTTGTCCAGCAGAGTAGATGCCCAATAGTAGTCTTTCATAGCTGTTAATGTGGTTTTGAATTAAAAACTTCTGAATTAGTATTCAGTGGAGCAGAAACAGAGCCCATGAGAATGGTTAGCAGAGGGTTGAGGAGGAGTATTCCCCTAATCAATCTGAACATTGTTCAGTCAGTGTCATGGTATCAGGACCCTTATTAGTGTTTAAACAAAACTCTTCTTTTTTTTGGTATCAGGGATCGAACTCAGGTCCTTGTGCTTGTGAGGCAGGTGGTGGAACCTACTGAGCTAAATCCCTGGCCCCCCAAACTCTTCTTTTAAATAACATTCTCTAAATGGTTTACTTTTTCTTTCCACATATCCTCTCACAGTGGGTAATTTTTAAAAGATTAGGAAATCTGGGCCTGGGCATCTGGGAGGTGCTGGTATCGTTAGACTGGTTGGCAATGTCTGTGAATCCAGAAACTCTGTACGCAAATTACTGGAAGAGGCACAAGGCTGGTCCTTCTTCCAGTTTTCCCACTGCCTTGCTATAATTTGAGTTCTTTGGGTTTAGGGCCCAAGAAGTGGAAGCAGAAATGAATTTTGTAATGCTGTACCCATTTTTCTCATAGTTCCTCGGGCCCAAGAAGCTAAGTAACCAAGAGAGGTTCCCTTATCGGGAGTCTCAGTGTTCTTGATTGGGACCAAATCAGTCCGCAGGCCTCCTCACGAAACCACACGGTGTACTGGCATTTGCTGTATTGCACCTATGTTGGTGCAGAGTTAATTGGGTGTGAGTTGTAGCAACTTCCTCTGAGCTGTAAGAACTGGGTCAGTGATCACTTAAATTCTTTCTTTGGCATTCCTGGCATGGATGAAGTTCTCTGTCAGTTGGTGTAACTGGTCACTCAAACTCATTTTAAAACCAAGATGTAGTCCAGCATGATGTCGCATACCTACAGTGCCAGCACTGTAGGAGGCTGAGGCAGGAGGATCAGAAGTTTGAGCTCCACTTGGGAAGCTTAACCACTTCATAACAAATAGACAGACAAATCAGTGAGGATGTAGCTCAGGGTGACGGCCCTGGGTAAATCCCTACTAACACAGGAAACGGATGGATGGCTGACAGACAGATGATAAAAATAAAACCAAGCTAACATGTTATGCATATATTTGCAATGTCAAGAGTTGAGGCCCTCCAATTAAAAAACAACTCTCAAATAGAAGATACAACCCATAGTGGAGTCTGCAATGTCACTTCGGTAAATACTTCCAGATTCTCTACTCTTCGAGTGGTACCATTATAGGCAATACAAAGATGATTAAGATGTGTTTTCTCCTTCTAGGGTCTTAAAATTTCGTGGCAGAAGTACCCACCAGAACTCACATAACGCTAGATTAGAATTTATGCTTGACTGGATTTGCAAGCCAAAGATATTAGGCTAATTCTCCACGGGAGTTATAGCCACAGGGAGGACTTCTGAGCTGCCAGAGCTGGTATTTGAGCAGAGCTGTATGGCAAGTTGGGTGCTATGGAGCCAGAATTGCCCTATAGCGAGGCCAGAAAAGAAGAGGTGGGCAGGTTGGTCTAGTAACCCATGAACGAGTTAGCAGCTACATCCTTGCTACTAGAGGACCAGTAGCAACTCAGTGTTACTCCCAGAAGTACTGAATCGCAATCTGAATTTTAACAAGATCTTGATGATATTTGTGCACATGTTCAAGTTTGAGAAACCCTAGCTGTGTTCTATGAATGCTGTCCTGGGCCTCATGCCAGACCAGTTGGGCATGGAGGGAGCTGGGGCCTGAGTGTCGGTGCTTTGAGAAGCCATGCAGGTGACCACAGTGAGCAGCCAGAGTTGAGCCCCACTGCTTTGCCCCCTACATCAGAACTGAGACCCGATGATGCCTGGGTTCAGCCATTATGGCAGATTTGGAAAACAACCAAAGTAACCGAGAAAAAAAATCCATGCATAAATTCTGTACACTTGGACAGGGAACTTGCATCCACACAAGATTCTCTCTGCTGAAAGAGGATGTGCTTGCTGTGCCCACCAGGTGCAATGGCCTGTGCTGCTGGTGGCCACATGGGGGCCTTCTCTGGCTTTTGTGCCCTCACTGGTGCCAGTGACCTTGCTTGCGGGCAGTGGGGACATGCCGGACCCACCTCTCTTCTACACAATGTGGTTATTAATGCAAAAGACAAAACAAGACTCGCTCAGTCCTTCGGGTGAGGCATCATCCTCTCCCCAGGCTCTTAGGGCATGGGCTGAATTACTCCATGGCCCAGGTTCCCTGGGGACCCTGTGAGCCCTACTGTGCAGCTTCTCCCACAACATGACTGTCTTTGGGCCCCCTCTTCATGCCTGTTTATTTTGTGCATCCTCCTGGATCAGGGACCCAAAAACGTTTTCTGTAAAGATCCAGGTAGTGAATATTGTAGGCTTTGGAGCCAGATGGTCTCCACAGGGACTGCTCAGCTCTGGTGCCACAGCAGGAAAGCAGTGCAGACAATACTCGGTGGCTACGTGTGGCCAGCAGAACCGTGGGCACAAACCTGGCAGTAGGGACACAGGCTGTGATTCACCACCCAGCACTCTAGAGACCATAGCAGCTGGAAGGTGGGATTTCTCTTACTCTGTATTGCACCCCTGCACCGCTGTATGTCACGGGAGGTGTGAAATGAGTGGGGAACAGAACCTGCAGTGTGGGGCAGGGTTTCTCAACCTAGCACTGCCGACATTTGTGATCAGACAACATTCTTGGGTCAGCAGAACTGCCCCATGTTAGAACTGTTTGTGTAGAGAGACATACGGCAGGGGAGGGGCCATGGTGGCATTAGCCTGGGGACAGTTACTTGGTAAAGGGGAAACCAATCTTTATTATACAAATACATATAAAAAGTAAAGAAAACATATTTTTAAAGGGCACTATCGCCTAAGTGTCTTTCCTCTTACTTTTGCATGTTTTTAAAAGATCATAGGCATTCTCTTTTGCAAACTGCTCTTCTAAGCATGCCACGCTTCTCCGTCATTACATATTTTCCTACACTATTATCTGCCTTGGCTGCAGCACACTGCATTATTTGATGAGCCATAATTTAGAGAGCCACGTCCATGAGTTATTTACTGAGTGCTTTGGTGCTAGCCACACTGCAAGAAGTAAATTAATCCAACAAGGCCCTGCCCTTTGGAGCAACAGGCTCTCAGGAAAGGAAGGGATTGGCCAAATCGAGACAGATGTGTTGAGCATTAGCCCAGGGTCTCGTGGGAATCCGCAACAGCTGGACTTAACCCAGAGGGAGGGAGGCAGGCAGAGTTGCAAGTGACATTGAAGGCCGTGTCCTCAAGCTTTCTGGAGCATCTGGGTCCCCTGGAAAGCTTGTTAGAAAACAGATTTCGGGATCCCCACCCTGCCTCAATGTGGAGAGGGCTCTGAGATTCCTTGTCTCTGACAAGCTCCCGGGTAATGTTGTTGCTGGCACCAGAATGACTGAAAGGACGACTCTGATTGAAGGTGTTTCTACTTTAAATGGACTGTGACAAGCGATCGGTAATGAATATCTTTCCGGAGAATAAATTTCCTACTTACCTAAGTACCCCTGATTATGAAAATGCGTTATGGTTACAAAGGGAGATTCTGAAACTCGACATCTGTGTGACCACATAAGCTTTCTGTGACTCAGTTTCCTTATCTGTAAAAGAAGATAGAAAACTATGAGTTCACTATCATAAAGAAACCTGCCTGACAGAATAAATAGTAAATCTGCTTGCCATTATTACTGTTGTGCCCTTAAGATAAGTTCTCCAAGTAGAATTTCTACTTTAAAAATAGGTAAAAATGAGAAAAAGAAAAAAATATTTAAAAGCAGCCCCCCAAAGGAAAATATAAGCAGAAATATGATTTTCAAAATACAGTGGACTTTCCAGTTATGACCAGCCTGACACATGACCAATTTGGGTTATGACTGGCATTTTAGCTTTAACTTATGACCAAAGTCTTGAGTTACAACCCAAATGCCAGCCACTTTTGCTTCCAGGTGCCTCAGGTACAGATTTAACCTTTAAAAGAGTTCTGGAAGAACCATGACAGCACCCTTTCCTGTGTGGGGTTAACTGAGAAATCCTGGGCCAGTGTCTCTCTAAGGACACTGAGATCTGCCTGTGTGCAGGAGAAAGACTTTCGAAAGCTGTGGAGAGGATAATGAGCCTTTAGTTGACCAAGGTGAGTCACAACCAGCCCTCAGGGACAAATTGAGTTCGTAAGTCAAGCGTCCACTGTATAGAAAGTATGTTACCAAAAGAGTTTCAAATTTTAACTTATTACCTAGAAGGTGACTCTCAAAGCGTGGGCCCTGGCACCAGCAACATTAGCCTCAGTTTGGATTTTTTGGAAATGCAGACTTCAGGCCTCTGCCCAGTCCTTGGGGGCAGATGCTGGGGGCCTTGCACTCAGAACTTCTTTGGGCTTCTGCCTCTGGGAACAGCAATGCTTTTATCTTCAGGATGATGCTTGTGTGGGCTGGCAGGGGAAGGTTAGCACCCAGGGGCACTGTAGGCCGGCAGCTCTACACCGAGCGTGGACACCTATGAAGGCCCCACTGCCCAGCACAGCTGCATGGGAAGCTGCATGGGGGGCCCCTGATTTCTGCCCATTTTCCCAAACCAGATCAAATCTCCTCAAGCCTCCTGCATCCTGATGGGGCTGGGGTTTAAGTCTAGGGTTTGGCTCAGTGTCTCTTGTTGATTCATTTATTTGATGGGCTGCAGCCGATCCACACAGAAGCCCGGTGGACTAGGTTTGCTCTACGCACTGCTTGCTCATGACTCTTCCAAGCCTGCCTCCCTTCCTCCTTTCCTGTGAGCTGTGAGCCCAAAGTCCTAAGGCTGCCTGAAAGGTGGACTTGGATAATCCACGTAAAGAGATCATCTGGTAGCTAGCACGTTGTGAACACTCAATGTTGAACATAGACTGCTCTTATCTGGCTCCAAACTTGACCCCAACTTCATCCTATTAATTTCCATTCCTTTTTTAAAAAAAAAATTCTGAAAGATAATATTTAATTAAATATTAATTAATGGATACTGTAAAGGGCAAAAGTACAATAACATAAAAAAAATAGATAAACCTGTCTCAACACCTCCTCAGTTTATGACTTCAAAGCTGGCTTGTTGACTTAGTCAGGGCAAGGGCCAGGGATGTAGCTCAGCAGCACGACACCTGCCTGGCAAGTGCAAGGCCCCAAGTTGGATCCTGGTACCAAAAAAAAAAAAAATCTACCTGACCTCTATAACCTCAGTTACCCCAGCAGCCAAGTGCAAATGGTATAACCCCAACTTCATGCAGTCAGGAAGACTAAATGAGAAAGCGCAGTGAAGAGGAAGGAAGCCCCGGGCAGGTATGTGTGGCTGTGTGCACATGGTCACTGCTAGCAGGAATCATGCAGTTTTCACCACCACTGTTGTGAACTTTCGTGCAGGGTGCAAAGGAAAGCCTGGGCCAGATGGCAGGAGAGGCGAGGATGGTGTCCCTGGGCCTCCTGGGCCTCCGGGACACAAAGGTGACGGTGGAGAGGCCGGCTGCCCTGGAGCACCAGGTAGTTTCTGTTTCTCCTCTTGTTTTCTGACACTGCAGACTGGGTGGGCCCTAAAGACCTCTGCCCATGAAGTAGCTTTGCAAACTACTACTCAAAGCAACTGCCTTAGATAACAGCTCAGTGGGCATCAGGGAGACAAAAACAAGAAGAGAGTGGGCTGCATCTCCTGTTCTCATGGACGCCAACCCATCATGAAACCCATCTGGGCCCCGCGCTCTCTGTGTTCTCCCGCATTGCCCCACACAGTGTGCCAGGCACCACTTTTCAAGGCCTTTCTTTTTCAAGGCCTACGTGGCCACCTTTGAGCAGCTGTGCTGAAGGTCCTGGGAACAGTTCTCACCCTCAGCTGCTGGCTGAAGCACACAGCTTCTAGTTCTCTGAATTTACTTCATCTCATAAAGCTGACAATGCACACCCATAGAACACTGGGCTCTTTCGGGAAAAGTTAGAGAGCAGGCAAAGGGAGAGTATGACTTTTCAGAATAGAAATTTGACGTGTCCTGCAGGGGCTGGGGACAGAGTACTTGCCTAGCACATGCAAGGCCCTGGATTCCACCACCAGCACACCAAAAACATGAAGGAAGGGACGGGGAAGGGGACCAGGGACTGCATTAGGCAGCAGGACCTGAAGACCCTAAGACACAGCAGCATCTTCAGAGGAATCTAGCAGGGTGTAAAGTCCAACTCCAGGCTGATAATGAGTAGCAGTGAGTGAAGCGGGCCGAGTGGGGTCTGCAGCCAAAAGGAGCTCACATGTCTAAAAGGCAAAGCCCACACACTCCTGTGTTCCCAACGTTCTGGGAGGCTGAGGCAAGAGGATCGAAAGTTCAGTCCCAGCCTGGGCAACTTAGTGACTTAGCAGGACCCTGTCTCAAAAGAAAATGGGCTAGAGATGAGGATGTAGCTCTGGCTTCTGTCCCCAGTATCACACACACACACACACACCCCACTGTGTTCTACACTCTTTCTCAAGTCTAAAATTTCAAACTGTAAAGCTTTCCAGGTCAAACAAAACCACGGACAGAGATGAGGATGTAGCTCTGGCTTCTGTCCCCAGTATCACACACACACACACACACACACACACACACACCCACCCACTGTGTTCTACACTCTTTCTCAAGTCTAAAATTTCAAACTGTAAAACTTTCCAGGTCAAACAAAACCACGGACAGAGCTGCGAGTCTCACAGAAACAAAACACCATTTCAAACTCCAGCGTCTTCTTTTGCTCTCGAGGAAGAAATGTTGGTGCCTTTCAGCAGTGGGGTGACCCCTAGCAGTTCAGGGACATGGGCCGGGCCTTGCTTGGGTTTTGTACAGTTGCTCGCTTCTCATCTGCCAACAAGAATGCAGAGCTGGGTCTTCCTCCTCCTTCTGTCCCTTATCAAAGAGATGTAAAGTTCTGCGCGTGGGTCCCCATCCCTAGCCCTCCTCAGAATGGAACTGACCATGTGCTGGGCCTTGAAAGAGGCTGGCAGCTGTAGGAAGGAGCGGCTTTGAGGATCACCTGCTCCCTGCGGTCTGGGAAGGCCGGGACCCCACACTTGGGCTGTGCCGTTGTCTTCGTCCAGCTCTTTCCCTGTCAGTACTTTTACCGTGTCATATTTCCTTTTCTGCTATGTTTGTTGCCACTTCTCTTCCTTGAGTGAAATGCAGACTTGGAGAGGGCAAGGCTTTTCCCACTAATGTTGCCCCCCAAACTCCTAGGATGCTCAAGTCCCTTCTGGAAAAGGGCAGTGTTTGCACAAGACCTACACAATCTTCCCATATACATTAAATAACCTCTAGGGTACTTGAAGCACCTAATACATGTGCTCTGTGAGTATTTGTTATGCTGTATTGTTTAGGGACTAGGGGTAGGGGAAGTCTCCATGATCATTACAAATGCAGGTCTTAAGAGTATTCTCCGTCTGCTGTTGGTCGAACCCGCAGTTCAGAACTGCCACAGTCCTGTGCCCAGTACACCTAGGACAGAGGTGGGGAGAGGTGGCTGTTGAGCTGAACTCCCTAAACTGTGTTTCTTTATTCCTCCAGGCCCTCCTGGTCCAACTGGTGACCCCGGCCCCAAAGGGCGTGGGCTCGGCTACCTCAGCGGCTTCCTCCTGGTGGTCCACAGCCAAACGGATGAGGGACCCACCTGCCCCACGGGGATGCCCCATCTCTGGAGTGGGTACAGCCTGCTCTACCTGGAAGGGCAGGAGAAAGCGCACAACCAAGACCTCGGTAGGGACCCACCGCGCGGCCCCTGCCCACAGCAGTGCATGGAGGGCAAACTGGGGCTACAAGTGCAGACCCATGCACTTCTTAAATGATCATGTCTTTACGGGATCTACCTTATCTTTAAAAGATTGTGCTAATTCCCAGCTAATTATATTACACCTATGATCTGTGAGATGCCAAAGAATCTCATTTGAGATATGATTATCATCTGGCTACTTACTGCTTGCTCTTTTTTTTTTTTTCATTTATATCGTTTTGTTTTTTTTTTTAAATAAACACGGAGGAATCCCTGCTCACAACTGTTCATCT